TAATCATTAAATGCCATTTATACTTACTTTTTCTTTAATTTTTAAACGTAAACATAATCATCACATAAATATTTCTACGTCGTGTATGTTAGCGAACGTGTACATAGAAAAATATTATATATTGATAACATATATATTACTTAAAAACAATTAAAGCATGCGCGTGTACATAAGTAAAATAGTTTTTTTTAAAGAAAATAAATAAATAAATAATGTTGAAAACAGACAATGCTACACTTTAAAATAACATGTATACATGCATAGTAGTCACTACTCTAAAAGCTAATAACGACTCTCCTATGGTTATAGCTGCATTGAAACGGGTATTGGTACTATATATACAGATTTACTCATGAGGATCTTTCGGGGGTGCCCGACGCGGTAGGACGCTTCACTTCTTAATGAAGGGTCCCGGTCGAGTAACGATCTATTCGAGTATCCCCAAATTAAACATGAGTAAATCTGTGTATCTTTGCCATCGTAAAGCCATGCTTCAGCATAAAAGGCCAGGCTCGACCAGAGTACTACCATGACCTCACAGAAAACCAAACCCGTCCCTCTAATTCGGGGGTTGGCAACATACTTGTGGTTCTTGCGTTGCAGGGGGCCATCGGCGGCGGTAGTCACTTGACATCAGGTGACCCGTCCCGACCCCTTATACTCTAAAGAAATAGTGGCACTCCGGGAGTGCCGACAGAAGTGAGAACTTATTACAGAGGTGTCGGTAACGGTAACAGTGCCGCGAGTTCAAATGTTTTTTCCATCTCAAAAATGCCTAACTTGTCCAAAGAAGTTTTCCCTTCCAAAAACCATCAATTAATATTCACCACCACGAAGGTGAAGAAATGAACGATTGCAGAGAATATTCCATATGCACACTCGGTATTAAGAAAGGAAAAAAACGATGGGAGCAATAAACAACGCTATCTTTTGGCTTTTCATCACTTGATTTCTTTACCAAAATTTGTATTAGATTGATTAAGTTTTGACCTGAATTATAACTGACATTGGTGCTAATTCTGTTGTTCGAAAACTCTCTAAACTAAACTAAAAATCGCTAAAAAATTGTTTAGTTTTGTCAAAGAACGTTTCCTATTCTGAAAACGTAATATTTGACAGACCAAAATGTTTTTTTGTGATTTTTAGTTTAGTTTAGAGAGTTTTCGAACAACAGAATTAGCACCATTGGCGATAAGATCACTGCTTAGTTATACCTGTAATTGTCACGCGACAGGTGCAGTTGCGTTGACTCAGTGATAACCACAGATATAGAATCTATATCTTAATTCACGTGTAACATTAATAAACGCACTCGACTTTTTACGGGCCATTCACATCACACGTCAACAGCCTGTAATAGTCCACTGCTGGACATAGGCCTCTCGTTAGAAAGGAGGTTTTGGCCTACTATACCACGCTGGCCAGACGGGTTGGTATGGGGTTTGTGTCAAGTTTTCCTTCTTTTTCCAGTGCTGGTGTCCTGCGTTGTGTTACGGGCCATTCATGAATTACATATGGCTATCTACGCTATATAAGGGCACAAAGTTTTCTAGACCTTTTTCCCTTTCTCAGAAAAAAAAACACGTAAGATTAGCAATTATTGATGCATAGTTAAATGTCATTAGAGAGAGATCATATCAGCATAATAATTATAAATTAATCATAAATTTTTATTTTGTATATCCTATAATGTTTTTATTTCAAAAGGTACAAAAAGTGCACTTAAAGAAACCAAAAACTACTATTACGAAAATACATGTAACGAGGCTAGCTACCTCCCTCCGTTAATACGCATTTGCATAATTTATACGCAACAGTTATACCCCTTTTTCAATTGGGGACATTGTGTCCCTTGATTGTATCGCCCTATACAGAACATGTGTCCAGTAAGTGCACAACATGTCACCCGAAGTCACCCGTTATATCTAAGGGTCGCGGGACACTTTGAGATGTTATGACGCGCTCTGTGAGCGTCCCGTGCGACGTCGTATCCATATCTTGTCGGGCGACAAGTTTTGATTATAGCATACTTGATGTTGTTTGCGAAATGGCAGTAGTTGTCCCACGAATTTGTATTTACCCCTATCAAGTTGTACCAAAATTGATCCTTATAATAGGATACATGACATGTAGAGTATAAAAAGAATAACGTCTAATATGACAGCTCATAATATAAATGACGAAATGACGTTGCGAAAAACATGCACAATTTAAGGTCTCAGTTTGGACAACGAAGATAATGACAATTTGTCAATAAAGCTATTTCTGTTCCTGAAGGCCTCGTAATTAAAAGTTCAGTCTCAATTCAGTTCCGATTAACTTTCGATCTCACAACTGTCATAAAAGGTATTTTCGTAGTAAAGTATTAAACATCTAACGTTGACTCCAATGTGATTATATCGTATTGTAACCGAAAATTGAATCGGTAATCTGCTCGTCTTAGTAATATTTTACTACGAAAATACATTTTATGACAGTTGCGAGATCGAGGGTTGATCGGAACTGAATTAAGACCGAACTTTTATTACAAGAATAGGTCTTCTGAGTCTTGGTGTTACAGCAAGGCTGATGTGAGGTAACGATAGCTTGCTTGAATTAGTATCTTGCTTAGCTATGACTGACTCAAACATATTTCAAAGTATTTAAAAATGTTGTCATTCCCGTAAATTTTTGTAAGATACGTTGTAGATCTAAAGACAAATAAAATGTTCGCCAAAAGCAAAGGATCATTAAGTAGTAGTTAGTAAGCACTATACATTAGTGCTTAATGACGTAATGTCTTTCCTTTTATATCAAATATTTGCCAATTAAATATAAATAAAATAATTAGGCAAGACGCCAGAGTAAGTGCATACCTTATTGGTTGACAACGCAATAACAACTGAGTAATGTAGACGAGACAAATTTCTACGTAAAAGTCGGACGATGTCTCTTCGACGTAACCCCTAATAAATACTTACATAGCTAAAATGGACACTTGATAAAAATAACGAACTAGTTTTTTTTTTCTAAATTTAAACAAAGCAATCATCAATCGACGATAATGTATAAAAGTTTGGGCATAAAAAATTTGTCGACAAAACATTAGAAGTCTTCAAAGTTAGGGCCCTCTCTTTCTATCTCGCTAATCTTAGCTTCAGTCAAGCGCCAAGTAACACTATGTAATTATTATTCGATTATTTTTCTATAATGTTATGTTTTACACACCAGACGTTTTATGTTCATTCACCGTGCGAGTAGCACACGAGGGTTTGCGTATTTTCTTTAAATTAAAATATGTAGCTCATCACACATATGCAGATACAAGCATGAAGAAGATTGTTTTAATCCTGTATAATAAAATTATAGAATTATATCAAGTTTTAACAATAAATAATCGTGAAAAGTGAAGTGTATTTATCGATTGTAATTATTTGTTATGTAAATTTAATATAGGTTAAGAGGACATTACCAATGACTATAATTATATTAATTACACATTTTACAGTTATCCGTTTATGTACAAATGTTTACAAAGACCGTCAGTCGATTGAAACACACGCTTTAAAGGAACTCTTAGTTAATGTATGCCAGCCGAAAATCTCTCTGGTTATTAAGACGTCCGGAAGGATCCCGCTCCAAGACAGACAATGTACAGGACTATAAATTTTCATTAGTTAATTAAAACCTTCCTTATGAATGCTATATCTATTGTTCCTAAAATTCATAAGGTCGACTATATGTCGTTGATAGTAAATTAAGATTATTTTTCGTAAATATTGATCATTTCAATGGAGTGCTACAAAATCGCATTAAATTTTTGATGTTTGTCATATTTTAATATGATTAATTGATGATAATGTTATTATTGCCCGACTGCCCAAAATGGAGAGTAGGGTTCATACATGTATGTTAGTTTCTTCATAGTATAAAGTCACGTAATGAGCAGATTTCGATGTTTAGGGTATCCTCAAAACCATCCCGAGTTACACTATGACGGTTGTATAACCCCATTTTAGTTATAAATCCCTTACTTTATGAGACAATGTTTTTTTTTTCAATTTGATTAACATATCTGGAGGGTACGTTAGTACTCCCGCCAAGACGATCCAGGCGAAGCGCAAGGCAGCACTAACTACCTTTTCTCAAGCACTTCGTCTTTTTTTCGACGTTTGGCTTATACCAGATAAAAGTTCGCCCCGATAAAAATATGTAGTTTGGCCGTTTCGCTACCGTCCCATAGACTTAAGGTGAAAAGTTCCTATTTCCGGTTTCCCGTTGTACTGGTGTTCTTGTAGTAACGACACCACATACATATTTTGACTTAGGTATAGAGTTTGTGAAGTTAGGGCGTGTAGAGTAAGACGCTTGTATCCTCTTCATGAGATCTGATAACTTTTTGACAATGCAAGCCATAATATAGTCTCGTCTTGGTAAAATTTTCTATAAACATGTTTAAGTGGGATGCATTATTCTTGCAATTTTAATAGGCCGGTTTTGCATCTCCGCCGCTAGAAGTGGTATATTAGCTTCAGTTGTATAAAATAATTTGAAACTAAAAAATAATTTTCCCAAACCAAGCCCAACTTATCAGGGTCCTATACAAGGTATAAAAGAAGATTCCGAGGAACTGAAAACTGTATTTTCTGCAGTTATTCAATAAAAAGGAAAACCCTATACGATAAAGAGAAAGATAAGAGAATAACCGTATACGATAAAAACAAATATATTTCCAATTTAAAAAATAAAAGAAAATTTTAAACTTTACATGATCCATGGTATACAAATATAATACTGAATGAACGTGATATTATATGCCTTCGAATTGCCAAGACGTATTGACCAGGTTGCACTGGACGTGGACATAGGCCCTGCAGGTTATCGTATAAATATTTTTTCACATAACACGATTTTCAGTCTAGCACTTAAGTCAAGACGCGGGCAAAAAGAGGCCTTCGTTCCTCCGCAATGTCTTTGTATCATCACCTTCATTCTCTTTTCATTATATTATTCTTCAACAGGTATGTGAAGTATATAAACTACACCGAGAAACGTTTCATCTAACAGTGGACTACGTGGACCGGTATCTTTCAAATACAGAAGATGTACAAAAGGGGCGATTACAACTTATAGGTAAAAATTCTAAAATACTAACAATACATAAACAAATTTATATTATACCTAGATCAAACCAACTCAAGTAACACGACATTTATTTTTAAAATTTCAGGTATTACATGTCTATTCATAGCTGCAAAAGTCGAAGAAGTCTACCCACCGAAAATAGGCGAATTCGCATACGTCACAGACGGCGCTTGCACAACAGAAGAAATTCTACTTGAAGAGCTACTCATCCTCAAAATATTGTCGTGGAGCATTACACCAATCACGATAAACAGCTGGTTGAATGTTTACATGCAGCTGGCGAGTGAAGGAAGAAGTGCGAAACGTCGACTTCTAGGAGAAAGTGATGTCGGCGCGAATGCTCTCAGAGGATACACGTTCGTGTTTCCTCAGTATTCGTCGCTAGAATTCGTGACATGTGGACAGTTGATTGACTTAGCAGTTCTGCATGTGGATGTAAATCAGTTTCCTTATAGCGCCGTTGCAGCTGCTGCAATAGCGCACGCTTTCAGCAAGGAGTTGGGCACCAGGGTCTCAGGTGGGTCATTATATATAGTATGTAAATATCGATGAACAAATACACAAACCTATTAAAACATATGTAAATAATACGTGTTTGTTCTTTATATGGGTATTGAACTATCAACAGTTGTTCAAGTGTGTCATTCTTTATATTTTGAATGACAAAAATGACACAATTGTTGTTTGTTCAATAAATGGAAATTTTCTGAAGTTAGTTTCATTTCACTTTGACAAGACCAGAGAACCAGGAGGCAACTCCTGAGTACCTCATGTCAACAGTGAAAATTTGTTTTTTTTTACGGTATAAGGGGGCAAACGACCAGACGGTTCACCTGATGGTAAGCAACAACCGCCGCCCATGGACACCTGCAACACAAAAGTCACAAGTGCGTTGCTGCCCTTGGAGTCCCTCCCGCTCAAGTCAGCTGGATTTGGGCACCGGTAACCTCAGTAAAAGGCAATGAAAGAATTGCTTAACACCGGTTTCGAAGTTGCATTACTTTATTATGAGAGAATAACAGTAAAAAATATTTCGTAGTACTAGATACGCATTTATATGTGAGACGTGAACTTTTACACTCTATTCCTTATTCATAACAATAACGGTTTGGACGTTAGGATACAGCTGGGAATCGCTGGAAGGCTGTTACCGATGGCTGACGCCGTTCGTGGAGGTGGTGCGGGCGGAGGGCCCCGTGTGCGTGGTGCGCGGCGGCGACGGCGAGTTCCTGCAGCGCGCCGCCGGACTCGACCTCATCTGCCCCGACGTCAACCTCGACGAGAGCCACCGCATACAGTCACACAACGTCACGCTTGACATGTTTGTGAGTATCGTATTAGATGCTGGTACATGCCTCTTAGTTCATGTAGCGCGGGAAGAAAAATATCTGATGAATCTTAGCGACACCCAGTGTCAGAGACATAGATGCGTCACTCGTGCTACTCAATTGCCAAAGTTAAAAAAAACGATTATCTCTTCAAAATCGAATAATGATTTAGAAGTAGTAGGCAAACATTATAGTAATAATTAAAATAATAAAGCTGTGGTGTGCAATATCTTATACGAAACATTGATACTTCTGTGGGTCAGAAAAAAAAAAAAAAACGAACACTTCCAGCTAACTCTTATTCTTACTGACCACTTCCAACCCCCAACAGGATAAAGTATACCAGATGATGGTAGACCAGTCAACGACACACACTGACACGGCGGGCTCGTCACAAGACACAGAACACATTTACCCTCCCACCCCACCACAATCTGACCACAAGAGTCCAAAAACTCCATCGACTAAAACCCCGTCGACGCGTCACCTCTCACCAGTACCTGAATCACTACTACTTACGGAAGAGTGAACGCTTGAAAGGTGATTTTATTGTTTGTTATAATCCAATATGGACTTATTGTTTAGAACAGTTGTTAAATACTCTAGATTTGGAAGCCAAATTGCTGCCGTATCGTTATACTGTTGTTCGAACAATATTTAGTAGATGAACTGTAATACATTGTAAGATAAATGTATTTTGTTTGGGAAAGACTTGAAGTGCTGTGTACACACGAGTAAAAAACATTTCTACAACTACCGTAATTCATCAAGCTAATCTCGAGTCGGGGATTCTTTTACACAGATTATGATACTCTACTGTGTTATAGGAGTTAAACGAAATCCACCTTGTAATAAAAAATAACTAGTTAAGTTAAAAATATCTTCTCAAAACAAAATTTCTAATGCTGTATTTTTCTATTAAGTATTTGAAATAACTTGTCAATTTAAAACGAATATTTGACACAATAATGGGGTGGTCCATTTATAACCAGAAGTGGTTATTTGGTGCATATGTTGTAATGTTACATTTTAAAATAGCAAATTAACAACATGAATAAAGAATATAACTGAAAAGCTAGTAAAACAAACCAATCCACAAGTAGTCATCATTTGTTAAAAAGAATCCCCGGTTAGTGAGTTTAAGTAAAAAAGAACTGAAAATATTGGACCAGTTACCACATATAGCCTGTTGCATAATTGTTATAATTCTACAAATGACTCCACAGAAATGATCAGAATGACCATTTTAATTATTTGCTATTTTTGGATTAAATATATTCGTATTATACTTATAGTCTGCTTCCATAATACCTATGTTAATGCCCAAGTTCATGAAAAAATATTAAACAAGGCTAATTTACTTTCTGTGTAAATTCAACTATGGTCCTACCTTTCTTAGTTAGATCTAGAAATGTTCATTAGTGTGTTCACGCGCTCTTAGACGTAAGGATATAGAAAATATATCATAAAAGCAGCTTTTACATATTAATTTAACATTAATAGCGAAGGCAATAGCAAAATTATTTAAAATATAATGAGCTTATATTATGATGAAAAAATATTTAGGTAAACTACAAAATTGCGCCAACAATTGTTACATTTGGACTGAATTATACTTATTTATTTTTCATCTGCCTAACATCCAATTTATATTTAGAATGCATGTGGACATAATTTATATTATTAGTTTAATAGGAATTTAAAAATGCATAATAAATTGATAGATAATAGCACTGCCACCAAAGATATCAGAAACGAATTCAAAATCAAGTCTCAGGACTGATTACAACCCACATAAAGAGATTGTCTACTAACAACCAGCTTGTTTCTAACGGAGTGCGATGTTACTGCTGCTTGTTAACGAAACTAGGCACTAATTGCGTTTGGAACTAGCATGAGACTCACACATTCTATGGGGAGGTAATCAATGCCTGACTTGTTGGCGAATACTTTCGTCAATACAGTGCTAAATATGCACAAGAATGCCGTACAATGAAGTACAGTTTTATAAAATATTTTCACTCTACAAAAATAAATTATATAAATAAGTAGTAATGTATGTTCCTAAAATTCCTATAAGTCAATAATGCCTATCGCTATCTGATAAGTTCTGTCGTGACTGTACGAACTGGTGCTGCAATACATACACAATATTATATAAGAATGTATTTATTTTGGCACTGTAACATATATGCAACATTTAACGTAGTTTAATTCTCTTAATAAATGGATATTATTGTTTATGTATTTCAGCATAAAAACATTTTTATGTTGACTTTTCAACATAGGTTATAATTTGTAAATAAATATGTGTGTAAGGGCTAGACTTCGTCGCTAGACGCGTAACTTGGGCAGGTCATAATAACGACCATTATTGCTGAAGCGCGCGCTGAGTGTTAAAAAAACTGACTAGTACTGGCGTTGCCGGTATACTGCTTAAACATTCCATAAGTTTTATGTCGCGCTAACACAATGTTTAAGGAGTAGACAATAATCCACCGCATTGAATTAACTGTTAACATTATTGTAGTGTATATAAGCAAGGTTGTGCTCATCCTGAACTATCTAATGCGGTATCCACACATGAATACTATATTCATTATATATATGTATGTGTAAATAAAAATACGAATGCATTGAAATTAATCATTTTCAATCAATATATTGTATCATTAAGTAATTAGTTTTTCACCTTATGACTTTATATCTCATAACACTACTATTTTTGTGTATTGATTTTTTAAATAACCGTTTCAATCGTGCATTAATTTGCCTACGAGTTACCAATCATTTTCAGGTTTATATTCTGATTATTATAAATATTCTGAAACATCCAAATCAAATTTCACTAATTTACATATAAATATAAACTACTCCATTGCTTATTAGTAATATGCGTTTTCCTCGACATGTTTTTGTAAATAATTTGATATAAATGGTAATATATATGTTACCGATGATAAAATGGATATAAAATGTTCACGAGACTGATACTTAGAGCTTCGAGTCAAGTATAAATTTCTATTAAATCGAATGTGAGATGCTTTGATTTTGCTAAAAGAATATTTTTCGCAGCGCTTATTTTAACCAAAGACTGTCATGATATCGAAAATACGATTTATATAATATATATTTCACTGCGGATTAGATTTTTTGATTAACACTTGATGGAAGCTGTGATAGTGAAAGATTGTCTGCATCTAAAACATGTTGAATAAAAATTTTCTTGTTTAAGTTTAGTATGGTTTTGGTAAATATGACTTTTATACCTTGTCTTGTGAACAAAAACAGAAAATGCCTTCATGCTACACACACAATGCTACAATATTGTGTATGTCTATTTATAACAACTTATGGTTCGACTGAAGTTCTGTGTTTTCAACTCAGCTAACTCAATGTACAAATTATTATAAATAGAAGACTTTCATTGATCTGCTGCTGAATTTACTAATTTATCCGTCATGTTTGCTTTGGTTTAACAGTTCTGTTCATATATGAATTAAATAAAAATCGTTTCACGTCTTTTTGAATGATTAAAAACTTGGATGTTTGAAAGAATTTGGATGCAATCGAAAATAAATAATCTCTCAAACACTAATTTACCCAGATGATGAACTATTTTCGTATTTTTGGGCCATACCTTTAATCGGAGTCAACAATTTTGGAATAAAAGAGCGAGTTCATTCATTATCATTTCTTTTCAAATATAAGGTGTTGCTCACGTGTGTGACGGTAAGATGCTTCGCTTTTTGAAGGGCCACCGTCAGGTCCGAAACTAACCAAACCTCCCTGCAATACACGCGTAAATGAAACCATATATTTTTATTGAAACGATAATTTCGGTCCTCAATAGTGTACAGCTCTTTTTAGTTTCCTTAACAAGCCCCCGTTATTATTTTGTTATAAAGCAGAAGAAACGCAGAAAAGTGAGGGTTGCTGTGTTCATAGACACAGTAACATAATTTATCATTCATTAACCCGCAGAACTAACTTGTACGTATCGCGTTTCTCAAAAGTAAAACTGTCCGCTATTATCTAATGTTTTTATTTCACTCGAATATCACTAATATTGTACAAAATCATATTCATCATAACATGGAATTATTCAATAATAATTTTAACATTATATCCCAACTCCAATAGAACCGAGTATTGTTCGTTTTAGTTAAATTCTTGTAGAATTAAGTTGAACGATTACGCTTATCCACTGAGGTGTAAACACTCACCTTATAAAAATAAGACTTTAGATTTGTTACATTTTATGAAAATAATTTAAAATTATATCCTTAGTAGAAAATAATTAGAATTTTTAGGTTTAAGTTATTTTTATATCAATTTATTTGAAGCTAATGTGAAAGTACCTAATCCTTAATTAAAGCGTAAATGTGTGTATCTCCATTTTTATAGCATGTGATCTCATGTCAAGGATACAGAAGTTAATCGGATGTCATAAGTGCAATAAATGCATCGCTCACACATTGTATGTACAGTCCATTCACGGCGACATAGTATTAAATAAATGGTGTTGATTATTTATGCATTGCCTTTTATTTATTTAGCCCAATTTTATTGGTTTAGACAATAACACTCAATGGTCAATGTTATTATTTATTAAACATTAAAACATACATCTAACATTTAGATTTTTTGTGATTCACATTCAAACTACGTATTGACAACTGGATCACCGACACGGAACTGACTCGTAACAATTGCACGGAGATAGTTAGACACATTTGCATTGGTTACAAGAGTCTGTATAAAATCATAGTCGATTGTATCGACTAAAACTTAATTTTATTTGTCAAATTATTTTACGAGATTTAATAGATACGGGTAACACCAATATGAACTTGAAACATCTAGAGAATGATGATTGAATACATATTTATTATTAACATAATAACAATCAGATATTACAAAAATAATCTGCAGATTATAAAAATGCTTACGTACTACGGCCGCGGATCCGCCATTCTGAAACAAGAAAAACATGTGTTCACAGTTGTTTTACATCCGAAAATCGGAGAATTTTCTGGCGGCATTTCGAAATATACAAAACTTGTGAGCGGTCATTGCATCTACCGTGAGTGGACTATCAGGTGATCAGATGTTTTGTTTCTCCACTCCATCGGCTCAGAACGATCATGGTACTAATGTTTGATAGATTGTAAATGGTCCGTAAAATGTCCTACTCTCATATAAGCGTTGTTTCAGTGTAGATTGCCGCCTTGTAACGATTTGAACTATGTGTTATGTTTAACTGAACAAATACTTGCAGTACTTAGCAACTTACAAATATATGGTAATCTTTGGTCCAGCGGTGACGGATGATGCGTCCTGGGGCGTCAGGAACACGAACTGTCGGCTTGTGTTCTTGAGTGCGTGATCGATCAGCAGTTCCATCACGATCTTTCGATTCACGTTATCCTGCAAAATGTTTTCACGTAAGATATGGGTTCGTGTTTACTAGGGTTACATAGAACTATCGTTGGTTCAGGATCTTTCTTCGTAGACTGTACTGGCATAAAAAAAAAAGTAATTTATTCAATTTGGGTTTAGTGTCAGCACTTTTTGAATGTCATTGTTTACATAAAGCAGTCCCAAAAACCGCCAAACCCGTCACCACTTCCTAGTGGAACGAACTCCCCAACAACACACCTGTCTGTTAAGTGAGGAGAACTGGAATCTGTACAATATTATGCATAACCTAAGAACTACGTGCAATCACTCGAGCAATAGATACACACAAGGTGTCATTCTAAGTTGCTTCGTTGCAAACATAACCACTTAGTCCAAGCCATCGATGTTGCATTACGAAAAAAAAGACTTCTCAAAGACAGTAGAGTAAAAAGATTCATAAAGACGGTGATAGCGAAGCAGAGAATGAGAACTAATATAGAAGAAGGTAAGAAGAGAAAGGAGTTTTACCTTGTACAGTCAGAATCAGATTCATTGTGTTATTTAATGTTTTTCATTATTATTTCAAAATTGGGTAATATTATGTTGGCAAACACGTTTTAGTCAAAAGAAGGTAGCGGTAAGCGCTTGCGACGTTTTTACATGACTGCTTAACTTGATAATAGTTGAGCAGTCGGGAATCAACATTAAGCCCCAATGGGCCCCAAATCTACTGGTTGTGCAGTAGAGCTATTTTTTTTTCTTTATCGCGTGTTTAGTGTCTTTGATGATATTTTTAATAAAAATATGTCAACGCAACAGCCGATACAACATCAACGTCCACGTCTGTTATGTTCGCCTGTCTGGAACACACTAGCAAAACCGCAAGTGTAAATGGCATTCAAGCGTTTGTAAAGGCTTGGAGCTTGTTGACGTTTGCAAAGCCTCGGCAAGCGTGTAAACTAGGCATTATAATCATCTGATGTTGATGGATAATCAAGATACCTAGTACACGTTAAATGGTACACAGTGCCTTAAAAAAACTTCTTGATATTTGGAATTAATTATGCAGAACTAAACAGCTAACGAAACGATAAAGCACTGACAGACACGAGTGACGTCATCGGTACAGCAAGCCCGTTTCCACGTAGATTTTACATTTTTTAAATGTCTTCATTTTACACAATCGTTAAAAATAAGAGTAAACCTAACAGTATTCCGTGTTAGCTATTTTGTTAATATTTCAAATGTGTCTGTGTTCGGGCTGTACAAACTTTAGGGGGTGATAGTTTGCTCTATTTTATCACTAAAATCATTCTACAGGTGGGGTCTAATCCCAACGGCCTCTGAATGGCAGCCATTTTTGTATTTTGGTTGACTTTTTCGTAGCGTCCATACTAAAAGTTATGTAACTTAGTAGTAGTACGTAGTTTAATATCCGATTATCGTAAAACAAAAACTTCACATAACGGAAAAGTATTAGCAATCAGATAAATAACTCAAATAATTTTAATAATTGCTGTATCATATTAAAATGAATGCTAAAAGATCAACTTTACGTCAAAATTAACATTGTTTTTTAGTATTTTAAGGCTATTACAAAAAATACCCCTGTGAACTATCTCTTATTATGCACGTGTCTCACAGATGGTAAGCTAACCTAAATAATGATACCAAAAACTCGATTCGGACGTACCATGAAGACGTCGAATTCGTCCATGAAGCAGAAGGGCAGCTCGACGCACTCCCACAGCGCCATGATGAAGGCGATGGTGGAGTAGGAGCGCTCGCCGCCCGAGAGCGAGGCGGTGGAGGCGGCGTGACGCTTGGCGCTGCTCTCGCGCCCCGAGCACACGATCTCCAGCTCGCCGCGCCCGTGGTCGATGTCCATGCGGCCCTGGCGTCATACCAACTCACTGTACAGAGCCGCTCGTGGAGGCAAATAATTGTGTACCGAAGTGCCCTTTAGGTGAATCGCCTCAAATATTTAATATTAACGTGGATATGCCCCAGGATTTCTGGATTTTAAAATGATCGAGTTCACTTAGTAACGCCGACCACCGGTACCTATTGTATTATATTCTTTCTTTAGCTGTGTTAGCAACCTGTTGTTGCGGTGACTTGCGTGTGTTCATCTACCATTTAATTGAAAAATAAAACCAGACTATATCGAATAATTAGTAGGTAACCAAGTACCAGCCAAAACCTCCTATGTCCAAGACCTATGTCCAGCAGTGGACTAGTAAAGGCTGTTGATATGATGTGAACCAAATAATTTATTATTTGGTATTAGGTATTTTAAAACCAAGTATTTGAATTTGTAGTATCGTCATCAACAGTCTGTTTACCTATTTAGAAATCAGATGGCTGAAATTAGGGATCTAGGGAAAACTATGTGATTAAATAAGTATGAAATTATAAAAGAAATGTAAATCTGCGATCTGAAAACGCGTTATAATAACATATTTTTACTCACCGAGTAACCTCTGAGCATTAAGATAGCTTGGAAACTATGCTGGACTCGTCTAGCGATGCTGGTTTGTACTGTATAGCAGAATTTCAAATGATTGTCCGTCGTCACCTTCGTCTGTGAATTAAGTATTCATACTGAATAATGCTTTTATATTACAAGTAAAACTGGTACAGCTAGGATCAGAGTACTACATAGAAGCAAATTCTATTCCAAATGATAAAAAATAAAACTTTTACTAAACTCACTGCATGCTAAACTAAAACACATTTTCGCAGTCAACAAACTAGCAAGCAATGTATAAAGAACAAGGGATATTCATCGATTACTATAATTTAATATACAAATACAGGGTGTAAGGGACGTCGTAACGAATATTGAAATAGTGTATTCGACTCGAATAGTGAGTCGAAAATCATTGGAATTTTCTGCCGTTTCATGGGCGGCGATGGTCACTTTCCACCAGGTGACCCGTCTGCTCGTCTGCCCCCTCTGACATAAAAAAAAAAACATATTTTTTATAATTTGCCCTTTCTTGGTTAAAAATGATATCACAATGAGTAAACAGAAAATTTCACCCAAACCAATTTATTCATACCGCATACGATCAAAAACTGCAATTTACTTAACCAAACAGCCGAAGCATGTTGGACCTCCCCTCCGGCCGCCAACTTGTGTCATTGTGTGTAGACTGTTTGCACGGAATACACATGTAGTTATTACTTTTGAGCGATGCTCAGAGTGACCTTAAGTTTTCACACCTGATTGCATAAAAAAAATAATTTTCCGGCAGAAAATTCCAATGATTTTCAACTTAGAATGATGGTCTGAATACACTATTTTAGTATTCGTTACGCCATCCCTGTATAGCTAAAGATAAACAGTGTGCAATTTGACTCACATATTCAATAAGCTTTTTGAGTTGGTCTAAGATCATTTTAGTGTTTCTATATTTGAATTCGACTTGCAGTAGTTGTTCGGCCACCTGAGCTTTCGTTAGACCGTCGCTTCTGATCGAACTTAATTTTAGTTGGGTTTGCTTTAGCTCAGCAGTTACTACCTCTCGGTTTCTGTACAAAAAATATCAATCACTTTTAAGTAGACCAATTTTTTTAAGGACTTGTAAAAATATCTGAAAAGATTTACTTGCATTAATAAATATCATTGCATTTTATAATTATAAAACCTTAAGTCTTCTCGCGCCAAGCTTCTTTTACTATGGCTTCTAAAACATCAACATATCACATCACATCAACAGCCTTTAACGGTAAACTGCTGGACATAGGCCTCTCCTTAGATAAGAGGTTTTGGTCTACGATACCGCGCTAGCTGGTATAGGGTTTATGTCAAGTTTCCTTATTTTTGCAGTGCTGATGTCCTGCGTAGTTTGCTCCCTTAGTCGGGCTACGGGATGAATGTGGGTGGTGACACTCTATATTGGTATTCCGTTATCACATGGATAGCCGTCACCAAACATGTATTTTACTTTGTTTTGTATATACAATAGATTAATGCAAATAAATCTTGATGCTTATTTTCTTGAGGACGACATTGATAAGATTGCGAAAAAGAGTGGGCTTGTTGACATCAACTTATAATGTCTCGTCCATAAACCATGCAGTTTCACTGATGGATAATAATCGATATAAAATATTCATTTATTCATAGTTATATTGTACCTAGGATTGTTCACTCTCGGACAGAGTTTAAGAGCATCGTGTGTCTTTTGTTGGATGACCCTCGCTTTGTCCGCGAGGATCTCTTCTACTCGCTTCATTTTGGTCGCATCTTCACTCAGCCGCTGTTGGTACGCCCTGCGTTCTGTTGCACCCTGCTCCTGCTTCATTTGCTCTTGGTCAATTTGCTCCTAAGTAAAAGAAAAACTTGTTATTTCAACCGTTATTATTTTGTTTTCAGCCTCTTTTCTCAATTTTTAGCATCGGCGAATTTTGAAACATTGGAAGGAGTTTTGGATATTTTCATTTCTGCCCAGCCGCTTACCTGACACCAGTCCTCCTTGGGAATATAATTATTTTAACATAGCATAAAGGAGAACGGGTATGCTAGAATCGGAAACAAGACTGATACCGCAGTAGCTCAAAGGAGAGCTCAACAGATCCAGCGTGGATTGATGAGGCTACTACGTCAACCACATGATCCGGCAGGCAACGCACTTCGTCTATTCGTTTGCCCCCCCCCCCCCCCCCATATACTATAAAAATAATATATATACTTTGAACCATAAAGGGCGTAAGGGACATTAAAGGAAATGTACTTTCCTTCTTTCTTCTTTTTCATAAGACAATTCCGCACTAGGCATAAATCCTGTGTCACGGGGGACACACATACATAAAACGGATACAAAGAACTCCCAGACTCAGAACAATAATTTGTGGATCACACAAAGTGTTGTCCCATGTGGGGATCGAACACACAACACTCAGCGCAGTAGACCACTTAAAGCTACGCCATCCGTGCAGTCAAAAGCCCTTCGTTTTACAAATGTCTGTATTACACTTTCATAATAAGTAAACACTTACGGTAAGGCTCCTACATTCTGTTCTAAGCGTGGTCAGTTGATTCTTGACCAACTTCATTTTAGTTTCGAACTCGTTAACTTTTTGTCGACACTGTACAGCCTGGGCCGAGAGCTCCTCCACTTGACGTTGCAAACTGGTCGATTTCTCCTTCGATATATTTAGTTCATCAACCTGTTAGAGATAAATTAAATTCAAGATTATTTAGTTCCATCTTTTACTCATAGTTTCATTCGTATGTATGTCATCGTCATCATCATCCACAGATCAGTCCACTGCTGGACATGGGTATCTCCTTCCAAAGGAGGTTTTGGTCTACTATACCACGCTGGCTATACGGGTTGGTATAGAGTTTGTTTCAAGTTTTCCTTCTTTTTGCAGTACTGTTGTTTTGCACAGTTTGCGCCCTTAGTCGGCTCTTACGACACCCACGGGATGAATAGGGGTGGTGACACTCTGTATTCTTAATCCGTCACCACACGGATAAATAAATATGTAAATCGTATGTATATGTAGATATTTTTCATCACTTATTTTATTACTAGTTAAAGGTGCATTACAGAAGTTATAAATTTAAAAAGGTGGTATTGGGCACTTCTGAGGAGTTTAGTTGTAAATAACCTCACCACCCTCAATACAACCACTGCTAATACTACTATAAGATAGATTACGCGGATATCTTACAAGCTCGCAGAAGTTCGCAAATATTGTATGGTAAGTTAAAAAAAAAAAACAGAAAAAAAATGGTGCATAGAAAACGACTCTATGTTGGATTTACTGTTAGAGTGAATCCAACATAGAGTGAAAAGTTGAACGGATTACCATTCTTACAGTAATTTTAATCCTTATCTAATGTAAAATTTGATCATTATCATCAAAAGCATCTAAAAGTCCACTGCTGGACATAGGTATCCCCTTAGAAAGGTCGTGGCTTACATACTACGCTGGCCAGTCGAGTTGGTGTAAGGTTTGTTTCAAGTTCGAGCAGTGCTGTTGTCCCGTGTTTGATTTTCTCACTAATCATTTAGATGACACAAAAAGAAGTTTCTTATCATATTTATTTGTGTCGTTTAATTGATTAATCCATTGTAGAGTGGCGGACGTATAAAGAACTAGCGAGACGAACTAGCCCTTTCTGTAATCTCTGTTTAAACAATTAAAAGGTTTGATCCACTCAGTTTTTGTGGTGTCTGTTGGTCGGTGTTAAGTAGCCCTCCATATGACTAATGGTGTGAGTTACCAGGACGGCGTGCTGCGGCGCCTGTTGCTGATCCAGCGCTGCAGCAGCTGCCCGCGCCGCCTCCTCCCTCTCGTGTCGCTCGGTCAGCAGCGCTTGCAGCAGTTTAGACGCTTTATGATCGTTATTGCGCGCTTCCCTCGCTTGGTTATTCAACACTTCCGCATTAGCTTCCAACGAACGAAGCGCCGATTCCGCTTCCTGAATCTCCGCTAACAATTGTCTGGTAAAAAGAGCGAATTATATACTAGTTTTTGAACGCGGCACCGCCCGCGCGTATGTCGGTTATCGCTGTAAGAAGTAGTGTATGTTACTCGCTGATAATAAAGTTTCCATTGGTGAAAGAAATTTAAAAATCGGTTTACTAGTTTAGGTATGAAAGCGTAACAATCAAATAAACTTTCACATTTAGTAATAATATTATAATAAAAGCATTTACTTCATAAAATTTGTACAATACATTAACTAACACACTAAGCGGTTAAAGTATTGTCCTCTTAAATAGGCTACATAATAGAATAGCCCGTAATATAGAGAAACAGTGCCATTTCCTCGGCAATCTAAATACAGTGCTTGAAAACATTATCGGTCATGTAAATACTATTATAACTAAAAACTTTGTGTGTGTGTATGTTAAGAAAAGAAAAGTGTTAAAGAAAAGTTCAGCGGATTTTGTCAATTTAATAAAAGACAATTCAACTTCATTTTAAATCTGGCTCATGATGAACATTAACCGAAAACGACAGGAGGATGTATTTATCCAAAATTATTTTTAACTTTGAGGTTGTATGTGTTCTAATATATAATTATTAAAAGTAGTGTGTGTGTGTGTGTGTGTGTGTCTGATACATGTGCATATATGTTTGTGATATTATAGTAAAATGTTATATTTTGAAGAAACTCTTTAATAACTTTTTTACATTCATTATATGATGGATTGTATATAAACGTTGTTGCATTTAGTTAATTATATAAATATGGACCAAAATCTTTTTATCAAAAGAAAAATCTTTTTATGAAAGTAAGTATATTTAATCCTAGGCAGGGAGCAAATTTTATCTCTAAGACTGCGGTCAGTGAGCACAACATATGGCGTATTATTCTGCTGCAGGAGAATAGTTAGAAATATAAAGTTTTGTCTCACATTAAGGACCCTAAAATCTCTATAAAGCAATGCTATTGAATATAGAATCGGTCTGAAAGTCACAATCTTCAGTATTAATTTGTGCGCTATTTCTAATGGGCAGATAATAGTTTTGCACGCCACACCCCAACAAGAGATACAATAAGTAATTATAGATTGCCAAAGGGTGTAAATTACACCCTTAAGGTATATTACACCGTGTAATATACCTTAAGTATTATAAATTTGCTAGCGACATTAGGGTTTTAAAAAAATATGTATATTAATTTACGCACTTTGCATGTCAAGGTGTATATGTGTGGTATAAAATTTAAGTTTCGATCCATTACTATACCGAGATACTTTATATCGTTACCATTATTAATGAGTGGACAGCAACAGCTAGAATGTGTTTTATATGTAGAAGTATAATAAAAGAAAATAAACATACGGATACATATTTCGAAATGATTTTAGTACCGATTCCGTTTCACTTATCGTTGTAACTACTTGATGAAAACTGCTTAATGGATCTTTCATTATTTATATATGTGGATATTTATAACAACAATAGATGACGCAACACTGCGCTGATGCTGTTTAACATTACATTGTAATGTCACAAACCTAGATACGTGCACAGATATGCACACACAAGCAGACGCGCACATACACACACACACACACACACACCGCCACGTTAATAGATACAACACAGTAGTATTGTTCAAATTGTGTATTGTATTATAGATCCAAAAAAAGATTATAATTATATGTAGACACTATATAGTAGTCCCATATCCATCAAGGGACTTGTTTGTCTACTCATTTAACACGGAGATTTCAACAAACCCACACATCACATCAAAAATAACACCAACATCTGTTCTGGGTCATTAACAACGGCAACAATGAGATGTGCAGTATTTGAGAAAGAGTTGACAGATTCCTCGGTTTCTCAAAATCCTGTTGAAAGTCCTACTTCGTTTACTCTAAATACGATTTACATTCATTTAACTATTTCTTTGAAATACTTACGCCCTGACCTGGCCCTGACGGAATTCTTCAATTAATAAATCCTTATTAGTTCCTTTGCATATGCTTTTTAATGCTTCCCCCCCGCCAAGCTGGTATCATGCCAACGTTATGGAAACGATGTTCTCGTCGTTCAAAAACGGAGACAAACTTGAAGTTAAAAGTTATCGCCCTAACTCGTAACTTGGGGCAGACGAGCAGACGGGTCACCTGATGGAACTTAGTATCATTCCAAAACTTTGCAAAATATTGGGTATGATATAATAACGCCGAAAATGAAACCAATATTTATACCAGAGCAACACTTCAACTTCACGTGCCGTAAGTCTACCGAAACGAATCTGTGCATATTTGTTAAGTATGTTTTTAGGTGGTCGTGTATACCGATTACTCAGAAGCATTTGATAAAATTGATCATAGAATACTAATACCCAAGCTACAGAGTAACGTTATACACGATGGTTTACTTCGTTGACTGGGGTCTTACCTAAGGGTTCGTAGTCAGGCTATCACTATCAGGAGATTCTTTTCAAAATGTATACCCATCACATCTGGTGTACCACAGGGCTCACATCTCGGACCGCTCTTATTTAATATTAATGATGATTTTTTTTTATGGAAGAGGGGGCAGACGAGCATACGTGTCACCTGATGGAAAGTGACTACTATATAATTATAATTTGTGTAACTATTGTAGGACCTTAATATCAAAAAATGTAATGTCATCAACTTTACAATAAAGAAAAAATACATTGAATACGATTGTAAAATAATAATAAATTGATAGACATTTTATCTTGGTGTTCAGTTTGATAGTCAACTAATGTTTGATAGCCATATAACATCTATCGTAAATAAGGCTTTAAGAAGGTTGAGTTTCACATTAAGGATTACTAAGGATTTCAAATTATTTTATATTGAGATCTTGCCGCTCGTTTAATAATCGTGTTAATTTATTTACTGATGATTTCATAGATGTGTTCCATTCTGTATTTACTTTTGAACTGTTATTTTTTACTCTCACCGAGATCACTCTTGCTATGTTGTTACACTTGTTACTGTGCATTTGTAAAGTTTACGAGTAGTATTTAATTTTAAAATGTTTTTAGTGCTATTAAATATTTATATGTGGAAACTTTATCGGATTGTTTAGTTTACCTGTACATTAGTTTCCCTTATTAAATAAAATATAAATAAACAAAAACGATTGAATGTATGTAAAGATTAATGGACTGAGCTATTGTTCGTAATAAATACGTACATCTTAAACAAAGCTCAACTTACTTCTTCCTCTCGGCAGTGCTGAGATGCAGGTACTGGCTGCGTTTGTTGGCGCCGCCGTAACTGCGATAGTTGGGCGCCGGGAAGAACTCCGTCGAGTCCGATGTCACGATTTTTGAACAATTCTCAGGTACGTTCTCCTCGTTATCGGATAGACGAATAGCGTCATCTGTTTGAACACAATATTACGTTACTCCAAAACACATAGTTTGATGGATCTATTGTTCTGACGGTACTGGCTGCTATGCTAGAGGCACAATAATTTTATTATGTTATCATCATCCAGTAGTCCAGTAGACCTCTCATTAAGAAGGCGGGTTTGGTCTACCATACCAAGATGGCCTAACGGGTCAGTATTTTAAGGAATTCCGTCTCTTTTCAGTGCTGTTGTCTTGCGTAGTTTACTCCTTTAGTCGGCTCTTACGACGCCCACGGGATGAATAGAGGTGGTAACACTCCGTGTTCATAATTCATCACTATACGCACAGTTTATTATACATGGTACTATCACTAAATGCGCATCAAATATACATCCGAAGAATAAAAGCTACTGACTATGATCAGGTACAAGTAAGATGGTCTCCACGCCGATGTTGTCGATGAGGTAGTTGGCGATGACGGGGTCGCTGATGTCGAGCGCGTCGAGCGCGGACACGTGGCCCGCCGCGCGCACGCACCTGCGCCGCACGTCGTGCACGCGCGGCAAGAACTTGCTGCACGTCACTCCTGGCTTGGCCGCGTTGCCGAACACCTGACACAGTTATATATAACTGCATTACCACTAATTTCTACTTTATTTATTCATACCTCCTGCAAATACATTGCATAAGGCGGAGTTAATGCCATAGGCATTTTCTTCAACCTTGGGGTGATGCAGAGATTTGTGTGAGGCAGGCGTATAATGAGATGAATTATTAAAATTGTAGTCGGTTGCAAGATGTTATACTACACAGATATACGGGGATACATTTATAGATGTAAATATAATTAATATAATACTATAAATATAAAAAAACATAAAGATACACACATACATCCATACATAAATGCCTGCATTGATGAACACACGAGGGGTTATTTTAATGATTCCGTCAACAAGTCTCCATAGAGCTTGCGTACTCTGATCTTAAAGGTTGTTCGGTTGGTGGATGTCCTGATCTTTAGGGGAAGGGCGTTCCAAAGATTTACCGCTTGGACAGTGAAGGAAGAATGTACGATACGGGAGTTATGTGAAGGACAAAGAAGGAGGAAATTATCAGCGGACCGAAGGCTTCTGCCATGGTTGGAGAAGAGATATTGCAGGTGGGATATTAAGTAAGTAGGTGAGGTGGGTATGTGGAGGAGGGAGTGCAACATAGTCAGCGCCCGCAAACTGCGGCGCTGTCTTATAGGTAGCCATGACAATTGCCTGCGATAAGTCCGCTAATGCGATACATGATCGTATTTTTGCAGGTTGAATATGAACCGAATGCAATTGTTGAGAAGTCGGTCTAATTTATTGAGCAGATCTGCATTAAGGTCGACGTAATTGAATTATGTAAAACAAAAAACTGAAGAACCAAATTGCGGTCACAGTAATGGACTATCTCCGACAAACGTCCAGCTACCCAACCCTTCGACGACTGGCCCTAGTCACACAAAATTAGGCTGAGTAAACAGATAGAACGAAAGAAGCTAGGCCAAAGCAAAGCAAAGTTATTAGGTCTTTACCTATGAAATTGCCGTTTTGTATGCAATAAGTGAAAGTACTTATTTTTTCAAACTTTTTTATTTCTGTTATTCGAAGTAATCACCCCTGCAATCGACGCATTTTTGCCAACGCATTGGCAGTTTATTGATGCACTTCTTGTAAAAATCAGCTGGACGGGAGGCAACAAACTCTTCAAAGGCATTTTGTACTGCCTCTCGGGAATTGAATTTTTTACCCACTAAAAAGTTGTCTAAATTTATGAAAAAGTAATAGTCGGTAGGTGCAAGGTGTGGTGGTCACATCTGCATCTGTGGATGATTTTCGACTGCGTCAGAATGGTTTTATTCATTTCGAGTATATATATACACACACTCTGTAGTCTAAACGCAGTCGGGTTTTTGTCTTTTTTTTCTTCAATAATTAGCTTGTAAAATACCATAACGATGAAGAAATAATCAATTTATGAAGTAAAATAATTGGTACAGAGTAGTTTCACTTACTTGTCCCATGATGGCAAATAGTTTTCTAGAGTCCTCGTGGGTATTGACACAAAAGGTCCGAATGCTCCCGCCGAGAATATGCTCTAAAGCACCACCCCATTTTTTATCTTTCACCTTCAAGAAACTACCTAAATAAAAATAAATATATTGTATTATAAAGAAATATATAAATATTCTTAGTATAGGTCCTAGTAACAGAGCAGTTTTTAGAAAAAAGTATATTTGAAATAGTTCCAATAATTTATAACAAAATTCCCGAAGATATTCGTCAACAGCCTTTAATAGTCCACTGCTGGACATAAGCCTCTCCTTAGAAAGGAGGTTTTGGCCTACTATACCACGCTGGCCAGACGGGTTGGTATAGGGTTTGTGTCAAATTTTCCTTCTCTCTGCAGTGCTGTTGTCCTGCTTAGTTTTTTCCCTTAGTCGGCTCTTACGACACTCACAGGATGAATAGGGGTGGTGACACTCTGTATTCTTAATCCGTCACCACACGGACAACCGCACGGACAACACCAAAGATATTAGAGAGTTAGAATTAAATAGTTTTCAAGGGGTTCCTCATAAAAAATCTTTTATTGAAAAATGAGTTTATTGATTATAAGCACGGTTAATTTATTATGTTAATTTTGTTTATTTTTGTGAAGTGGTGTAATTTTAGGTCTAATTATATGTGGTATAAGATTCAAGGGTTTGCTATTATATAATGTAATTTTAATAAGGATTTAACAATAATTAAAATTTGTATGCCGATGGGTACAATGAAGCGACCTATTTTAGAAATATATTTAACATCTAATATTTAATTTTACCTACATTGACAAATAAATATTTCTATTACTAATTTTCATTAATCTGTATCTCAATGTATAATTATTATATAATACATGGCAAATCCGTGTGGTGACGGATTAAGAATACGGAATGTCATCACCCCTATTCATCCCGTGGGTGTCGTAAGAGACGACTAAGGGAGAAAACTACGCAGAACAACAGCACTGCACAGAGAAGGATAACTTGACACAAACCCTATACCAACCCGACTGGCCAGCGTGGTATAGTAGGCCAAAACCTCCTTTCTAAGGAGAGGCCTATGTCCAGCAGTGGACTATTATAGGCTGTTGATGATGAATACATGGCAAATATTATGAAATACTAGCTGTAACCTGTCACGCTTCTATGTGGGCGGACATTGTGGTTGAAAAAACTAGATAAAAAGCACCGTGTTTGTATATCATGTCAAAATTTCAACACAATCAGTGCAGAACTTTTTGAAGTGTACACAATTTATTTATATATGTATACTTATTATACTTATATTTACCTTGTTATTTTTCTTTGCCTATGGAACAGTACTTTTTTTATAGATTAAATAATATAGAATTTCTGTACCAATGACAATGCGCATGTAGGTTTCCATGATGATCGGTCAAGCAATTCTAGCGTGAAAGCGTAACATACAAACTAACTTTCGCTTTTATAATATTGTTTGTTTTGTTATTGTCATTTCTGACAAAAAACTATTTTTGTGTATTATACTTGAAATACAAACCGATGGGTCCCTTAGGGGGCGCTGAGAACTGTTTCTGGGCCACGGCTTCCTTGATTCGCCGACACAGTTCAATCATATTGTTGCCGTACACCGCCAACGATTCGTTTCCGCGTGATTCCAATTCACGTAGGTTCTGTTGCATTTGTTCTAAACGATATAAACAAAGTGACAAAGTTATATCTCTGCGTTTATCTTATAGTTAAACCGTCGTAAGCTTGGCCCTCCTGATGGTTTGCGGGACGCGGGGCGGGTGATACATGACACGATGTATTAACTCGATATCTTCAGATTTATTTGTTTGAGATTAAATCTACACACGATGTAATAAAAATCGATTTTATTTCCATGTATTATAATGTCAGTGTATTGTAAGTTTTTATGATTGATTGTAAAATTTAATACTGTAAAATAATTTTAATAAAATCACCTTATCTTCATCATGTAAATTATATTCAGATACAATTTAAAAATTAAATGAAATAATAAATATTCTTTATTAGAACTTTAACAGTAGAACCTCTGTAAGCCAAACTTCAAAATCTTTTTGTGACGCAGAGTCGGCAGATTATCCATGTTGCAAAATAATACCGTGTGTAGCAGTCTTAAGAAAAATAACACGTACAGCCATGCTTTCACGTCAATCACTGCCGGCGGACAGCGACGCACTAGCTAATTGATTGAATGCACCCCCGCCCCGCGTCCCGCAAACCATCAGGAGGGCCAAGCTTACGGCGGTTTAACTATAAGTAGGCTGGAAATCGAAGACAAGCGACTACAAATCTATTAAGCTAATCGGAATACATTAAAACTCTAGCAATATCTGATTAACACGATTCAACAAATCGCATAACGTATTTTATTGGTCTTATTTATAAAAATTGTACATAAGTTGCTATTAAGTTAGCATCAGAAACATGTCTATTGCAAGACACATTTATTTCAATTCGACAGCTCTGACGGTTACTGATCTTAGCTGCTAACACAGAGGTAGTGGGTTTCAATCCTACCTAGGACAAATAAAGTGTGATGAGCACGATCATTTCTCGCGTCTAAGTTTTTTAGCTATAATGTGTACGTATTTAGAAATATTTAAGTATGTGTATCAGTAGTCCGGTTACCATAGTACAGGCTCTGCCTAGTGTTAGGAGTGTTAGGTTTTTAGGATAGAAGGAGTGAAAATAGAAAGAGATAAAATAGGCGACTGACTGAGGTCATTCCTGTGTCGCTGCACGCGCGCCTGCGCCTGCTCGGCCTCGGCGTGCGCCCGCGCCGTGTCGGCGCGCGCCTGCCCCGCCTCGTGCTGCGCCGTGTCGTAGCGCGCCCGCGCCGCCTCGCCCGCCCGCCGCGCGCGCTCCGCCCGCCTCTCCAGCTCGGCGCGGCGAGCCTCCGCACCACCAGATCTACATCACGCGCATGCTCATATTGAAAATCAAACGATTTTATTTGTAGACCGTCAAAAAGAGAAAAAGTTGCATATCTCGGCATAAAAGATACACTTTAGATACACGTTATGAGGGGGCAACAGACGGGAATCGCATGTGCCGCCTATCTCTATCGCTTCGCGAAAAAACGTAAGAATACGCAGAGCCGGCCTAGCCGACACCGAGCTAGTCGGAGAGGCATTTAAAGAAGAAAATGTATATAATCAAAATATACCTATTTATTTATTGCACAGCCAGTAGTTGTTGTATTATTTACTAAAATCTAAAGCATACATCCATTTAATTAAAATTATTGCACAACATGCATTATACAGTAACACTATTTGAAACTAAAAATAGAAAAACATCTATGCAAGTTTAACACTGAATTGAACAAAAATAAAACGAACAAACTAAAATCAACAAGCACATTACTGTTATATAATTCTAACTACCGAAGAGACCTCTTAACTGAATTTCGTATGTTTTTCATCAGTCCAGTTATAGCATATTCTCTGCCAAATTATTTGATGACGTATATTCCTTTTTTGTACCAAGTGTTGATATTTATCCCTTTAATCATACTAAATCAGCTTAATACACACCTACGAACTTGAGCCATTAAAATATAGTTAAACACACAACTAAAAGAGAAGTAACTCACCCAATATTCTGTATCTCCCTTTCTAGGTCGATAATCTTTCTTTTTTCTCTGTTGAGCGATTCTGTATATTTCCCACTGTTGTGTTGTGTAGTACGTAAAGCCGCTTGTACGGTGTTCACTTCTGATTCAAGTTCCCGCAACTCTTGTTCCAACGCAGTCTTCTCAACGTTTTTTTCGTCAAATTTCTCTTTTAATACACTGAAAATTTACCTTACAACTAAAGTTTACGTAAGAATTATAACCTATAAGTATATGTATAGATTTCAGTCTGGTTCCTGCTTTATATTCTAAGGTCACATGTTAAAAGGGTATTGTATTAGTTTTCAATACTTCCATACTTATGATATAAATGTTTAAGTGAGTTTGTTTGTTGTACAGTACAGTTGTTTTAGAAGTTAGTTAGGTTTATTACTTTTCATTATTCGTTCATTTCGTCTGCTAATTTTTACAAAATTTTATAATTATTTTGCAGCTCTACCTATTCACAATATATCCAAATGAAAAGAAGTTAGCCATGGTACGCAGATTGCCAGAGGCCATAATCGATCTGTATTACACTAATACTATAAAAGCGAAAGTTTGTGAATAAGTGTGTTTGTTCCTTCTCCACGCCTAAACGGCTGGACCTATTTTGACAAAATTTTGGTACGGAAGTAGCTGACACCCTGGATTATCACATAGACTACTTTTTATCCCTAAGAAATGTAGCGCTCCCGTGGTATGAGCAATGTTTCACTCACGGTTGTATTATTTAACCGTCTTTTTATTATAATGATTAGTGATCTTTTTTTCTATCACAACTACGTAAAAGATTCTTGTTGCAATATATACAGATAAGTTTAAAAAAATATCGTCAAACTTGTAGTTTACATATCCATACTTATAAGTTTGGAAGCAACTTTGTTTATTCCGCTTTTACGCCTAAACCACAAAACCGATTTTAAAATTATCTCACTAATGGAAAGCTACATTATCAGCGAGTAACATAGGCTACTTCTTACCGTGATAACAAGTATAGTATAGGAAATATTAATGGATCACGATTTGAAGACTCTTTCCCTTCCATTAAATAATGTGACATAAACCAGCAAACAAACCTAATAGTGTTGTTGTTACTGCTAAAATTCTGTTCCATCCTGCTCAACTTTTCCGCAAGTTTCTCATTTTTAGCTTTCTGCTTGTCATACTGCTCTTGCACCATGTTGGCCTCGCGTTCCAACTCCGCCACTTCGCTCCAATAGTACTCATTCTGTAATTTTTGCTTCAAAGCCTCTACATCGTCCCATGACTGCATTTGTTCATACTTTGTCTTTATCTTTTTGTATTCTTTTTCAAGTTCCCCATAAGCCTGGCAGAATAATGAATAAAATTTAAAAGTTAATTAAAGGCATTTTCTTCCTTATACAACTAATTAGGCATACAAACCTATGGTCTGCTTGATGAATTCTGATCCCATTGTTTAGGGTAATTTGCAAGGCTATTAGTACCCGAGACGGCGTGCGGTTTTAGTCGGTTCGAGTCCGACATGCCACCGATAGGTGGTATCCGAGGGGATTTCCATAAGGCAAAAAAAAAAGGGTAATGTGCAAAATGGGCGTAAAGTCTGATACGGATATTGAAAATGAGAAACCTACGATTCAAAAGTTTGAAAGTTAAGAATAACTGCTCTCATTTAGGTAATCCACAATTTAAGCGTCCACGAAAAAAGAGATTCGAACAACACACCATCAAACCTTTGCGGTTTTAAAGAGAGATTGTAAACTCCACGATAAAAAGTCGATATTATCAAAACACACAATGGCCTCAGAAAGGTTGCAGTCCAAGCAAGGGAGCTAGGATAAAGGATACTGCAAACTATGGCGACCGAATGGCGTAGTGGTTTGTGTAACGGACTGCTATTCCAAAGGTCGCGGGTTCGATTCCCGCTCAAGTCAAACATTTGTGTGCATGAACATTTAATGTTTGATTTGGTCTGGGTGTTTCTATGTATAATAAGTATGTAATTACAAAAAAAAAGTACATATGTATTTATATCAGTTATATGGTACCCATAGTAGAAGCTCTGCTTAGTTTGGGACTAGATGGCGTTGTGTGAATGTGGTAGAATATTATTATATATTAAACTCTGAAACTGAAACATGGCTGCGACTGCAGTAGCTAGAACAGGCAGGGTTGAGCACCCGTATGTTTGAATTGTGATTGCAGAAGCCACTAGGACAGCTACATCAAGTGGCCAACGTATTACAAATGATAATAAATAAATAAAATTGAAGTGTCGGTTTGTAATGTCAAAATTTTTTTCACGCTCACACGGTTATTTGCACGATACATATGCCTAAAAACCCCTTCCTTTTTTTTTGTTATCTGTCTGTTTGTTCCGGGTAATCTTCTAAACGGCTGGACCGATTTCGATAATATTTTACAACCAGGTAGCTGTCTACATAACGAATAACTTAGGCTATTTTACCTCTCAGAAAAACCCTTTATAATTTGGCCGGTCCAGGCATTGAACCCACTAAGGTGGCGCTTAAGTCGCGGGTACCAGCTAGTAGATAAGTAGATAAAATAAGCCTCCTCCCTTACCTCTTTCTTTTTATTCCAAATGAGAGTGGCTGTGTTACAATTCTCCAGTGCTTTAACATAGTTGTTCTCAGTCTGGTCCAAATTAGATGCTTTACGAAATAAACTATATTTCTTCTTTGCATCTGAGGCATGGAAGCTTCTTGCGTCATCTTGATTTAACACTGATATGGGATTGTCAACTTGTATGTCGTGAGCAAGAATTATTGCATTCACTTCTTCGTATTTCGTTGAAATCACATCACCTGAAAATTTTGGTTTTACCATTACACTGAAAATAGACCTGTCCGACTTAAAAAAAAGAAAATACAATACAGGTGATTTATAACAAGACTCATTTACAAAATCAATGAGCAACAGGTAGTAATTTATTAATGACATCACTCAAGCTTTTTTTATTATTGCTGCACAAAATGAAAAAACAGTGAAAAATATTTATACAGTACACCTAGCATGAGTTTTCTTTTAGGCTGTAAAGTTTATAAAGCTGGTTTTCTCACATTTACTGCCAGCGCGACTGGCGAAAACAGAAAGTGGCTTTTGTTTACAAGTAGAAGTTTACAGAAAATAAAACCTTAATAAAATATTTATTTGAAGAGGCATATTAAACATGCAAGGCTCTTGTCTTGTATTCAGTAAAAATTTACAAAGAAATATGGAATTTCTAACGCACAACTGATGGTCAGTTGCATGTTAGACATTTACATACCTATATATTTGAGGAAAAGGAAAAACTAAACCTATTCCGATAGCATGGAGTTACAGATTAGTGATTCCGAGACTTTGAATTTAACAATTACTCTTGTTCCATACTTATATTAAATTTTTGAGGGTGTCTTTGTTTGTTTCGCTTTCACACCTAAACTATTAAACAGATTTTTAAAATTGTTTCACCATTAATTACATTATCAGAGAGTAACTTTTTACCCCTATAGGCAAAACCTAGTAAATGATAAAATTGTTACCTGATGCAGACTTCACTTTATAGCCACCACCTCCAGATAAATTAATAGTCCTCACAATAGTTATGTAATCCCCATAAACATCATGACGATATGCTTTTGCACTGCTGTTTTTAATTTTTATTTCAATTGTTGCAGAGTTGGTTCCTTTTTTTATAAAAGCTGAAAAATTTATAATGCTTATAGAATTGTAAAAAAAAAACAATTTGTTGGTGAGAATAAATCCTGTAAAAAAGTATAAAAACACTATTAATTGTTTATACTTAAAATTCTATAAAATAAGGAAAAAATCCATCACACTTCTGACAAAGCATGGTTTGATATAATTTTATAGGTCAGAATCAATTCTACTTTATCACTAGCCATGGTCTTTACCCTTATGTTTTCTTATTTTGTGCAGGAGATATTTTTTTATAGCAATACCTACATATGTGAATCATAGATTAGCTTAACATCCATAACAACTGTATTATTGTAATTGATCTGTATATGTCGACCAGTAATTTATGCTAAGCTAGTGTACTTTACAGTAGAGGCATTTTTAAGGAAAACGGGATAACTTTTATATTAATAGAGATACTTATTTGAAATTTGGTTAACTTAGTAGTTAAATTATTCATTTCTCATATTTATTTTTCCTTAATCATTTATATTTTTTGATTTAGCACAAGTTAGCTGTCTATACTCATACATGTAATTCGTCAATAAGATTTTACATACTACACACATTTAACAATAGCGTAATAGTTAGAGTAGTGTAGTACGGGAGATCAAAGTGCTAAAGAAGTGTTATTTTTACTGCGTCACAATAATATATCCAAATATATTAAGCATTAATTATAACCTTAGGTTTCTACATATATTCTGAAGATACAATATTGTAAATTCTTATGCTAAGTCGGAAGTTATTAAAATTAGCTTTATATTGCAGATCATACAAACATTTGGTCTGACCCTGGTTTCGAATTTGAGAGCTCAGCAAAACAGTCGCATACGCTACCACTGCACCACCCAGGCAGATTTAATCTATTCAATCATAGACCCTACCCAAATGTTCTTGGGACTGCATATAATAACTTAATTATCATAATTTTTTATTTATAATGACAGAACATAAATAACAAAATTTGTTTAGGTATGAATCACACAGACCAATTTTATTTATTATCTTTTTAATGTTTCCCGGACCCATGCAATAAATGAACAAACACAAATATATAAATAGAATAAATAAGTGGTATAGATAAAATATCTTGAATTAAATCTCATGAGTTTTAGTGAGTTGGTAGTGTGTTGGCCAAAAAAGTTCACAATATAAAACAATTTCTTTACTATTAGTTACTTCTGTGTAAGTCATAGTCAGGGCAAAACAACATTAAGACGAGTTATAAAACAACAATTTTATGAGAATTGAATGAGTTACTTACAAGTTAAGTTACTTCCTCTATTTGTAGCTGAAGCTCTGCCGCCTAAACCGACGACCAAAGCTGTTAAAATAGCACTTTTCCCGCTTCCATTCCGACCAACAATGAAATTAACATTTCTGTTTAGTTGCACTTCTAAATTACCATGGCAAAAGAAATTGCGGACATGAACACTTATTATAGAACCATCTATATCTTCCTCAAAATTGTCGGATTCCATTGTAGTTTATAACGTACTCTGTGATTGTGACTGATTGACTAACAAACAAGTCAAAAGTTCAAAACAAGTATTGTGCATGCGCATAAACTGACATAAGCACTGACAGTGACAGATTCCTCAATATTTTATCCATGCATTGCTCTGGGAACAGATTGAAAATTGCATAGAGAAATAACTTAGAGGGAACAATATTACAAGAGCCCCAATCTTGCAATATAGGCAACGAGAGAGATGGATAATAGATAGTCCCTCTGTCTCTTTCTAGTCTAGCCCTGTCGTTGGTTGGGGAATATGAGCGGTTAATAAGAGGCAAATCACCACCCCCACCCCTTGGATAATTGGCGCTCCACCACTGTGCTCTTTTCAAGACTCTTTTTGCATCGCAGTACCAACCTGTAGAACAAGTTGCGGTATTTCCGGACCGATACGAGCTTCAAGAAAAGAGTATACTGTTTTACTAAAAGGCTGGCAACGCGCTTGTGACTTCTGAGTTGCATTCGTTTATGGGCGTTTATGGGCTTTCAATCAGGTGACCCATCTGCTCGTTTGCCTACCATTCCATAAAAAAAAACAATGACGTCTTTGTCCTCGAAGGGTACATTGAGGCGTAATAAATGCCCACATTTTATAGACTTTAATTTTAATCCTACTTAAGTGTACCACATATAATCCCTACTAATATTACAAATGAGAAAGTAAACCGCTGATTCTTGTTAAAGGACATAGGCTATTTTATACCACGATATTAGGCATATTAGCGGAGTCACGGACAAAAGCCGACCTCTGGCTTACCAGTCGGAATCCCTAACCACTAGAACAACAGACCACCACTACATTTGATCACCTTCAAATCGATTCTTAACTATTTATAAAGAACACTTAGCAAAATTCCCTTTTTGCCAAATAAAAAAATGCATGCACGAGTATTTTAACCAAAAAAGGATGTCTGTGATACGTCAAGCATATACATAGAAGCATAGAGAGAACACTGAGTACCGCCGCCTGTAAGTGGAAGTGATACGGGCAACGGGAGAGAGGGATGCCGGATAGTTTCCTCTGTCTCTATTTCGCTAATCTGCGATTGGCTATCCTGTGATTAGCATGGTTTTAATCGTAGAACAGGCGGGACATTAAAAATTTCCCTGGCCAACCACAGAGTTCGGGAGAGAACTATCTATTAAAATAATAATAATATCAATTTATTTCCACAAATAATTACAGTACTTACATAGTTTTTTTACATTAGTTACATAGGTCTCAAGGGAAGGATCACTACCTTCCCTTGAGACCTCCCTTCCTGTCTCTTAAACTAGGCATGGCCTGTATCATTAGATTTCATTTACTTGAGTCTTGTAGTAATACAGTTGCTATTGGTGGAAATATTTAGATTTGGTTATTGAAATGTGTGTATCTGAGTATGTGTGTGTGTTTGTTTATTTGAGAGTTGTGTTATATAGGTCAAAACTTACTTTTTTCGACCCTTTTTATTTCTTAATCGTACGTTAAGTATTTAGACCTAGTGTATTTATTTCTTTATCTAGCTTTTTATATATATATATTTACTTATTACGTTAAATTGATGTTTTGCAAAAGTGGTCTGTGCTGAGTTGGTAAGGGTAAGAGACTATGAGCTCTGAGAGTAGACTACAGGACAAATAACTCATGTACTGTTAAATCCTCACATTCAGCTTATACTTGTGAGGAATCTGGGTATCTGTAAGGTTTCTTTAAGAACTACTCTCTGAGACTTTTCTAGTTTCAACACATTCGTCTTAGAGGTGGCACCTCAAACAGATATACAATAACCAAGTATGGACTTGCACAGAGCAAAATAAACCATTTTTAATGTGTGATGGTCTGCCGATTCTCTGAGAGTTCTGAAGATGGGGATGAGGCGGGTGGTTAGAGTGGTTATCGCGTCTATCTGTCTGTTCCATTTAAGTCTACCATCAATCGGAACACCCACTGTCAACTCGTGTTAGTGTTGTACTGGAGCTAAATATCGTGGACGCAGAGCAGGAGTGGTGACGGATTAAGAGTACAAATTGTCACCACCCCAATTCATCCTGACAACAGTACTGCAAAGAGAAGGAAAACTTGAAACAAACCCTATACCAACCCGTCTGGCCAGCGTGGTATAGTAGGCCAAAACCTCCTTTCTAAGGAGAGGCTGTTGATGATGATTGATGAGAGCAGGAGTGTGCCTTTATACTAAAGGCTGGTGGTGGCAGTGTTATTTGTCTTAGAAAAAAAGGAATGTATGAGGTTTTGGTTATTTTTAGTGTAAGCAGATTTATATTTAATCACTTGATTATTGTAGACAGGGCAAATTCAGTTTGGGTCCCGTCGTATCTCCAGGTTAGACCATTTACTACGATAGCTGTATCGTCTGCATGCGCGTAATTCCATGTTTGTTGTGGTAATTTTATTCTACAGGTCGTAGGGCCCAATATGCTGCCCTATATCTAATACCAAACGTCGAAATCCGTACTGATTTTCAGCAATTAGCTGGTGTTTGTAAAGATTTTTTTAACATTCTCGTTTAGGACTCTTTCAAGAACCTTAGAGAGTGTGTGCAATACCGATATTAGCCTATAGCTATTGACACAGCTTCTATCTGAAGCGGGGTTTCTATCCATTGTATATCGGATAAACAATAGCTTTGTTGAGAGCTATTGGAAGAACACCTGTCTCGCAGTGATTGCATATGTATGTTATAGTGGCACCAGCACATGACGGCAAGTCCCAAGTAACGAGGGTGGAATACCATCCTAACTAACTGCAGAGTCTACAAGGGACCTCAACCTCGACCTCAAGTACTACAACGGAGTTCGGAGGAGTTTTTAGATGAGAAGTTGTGGGTGTTTAATTCCTATATTGCTAAAGAAGCTACATACTTGGTTTACGGACGAAATAGAGTAGCTACTTATTTTCAACAGCTCAATTGGAGTACTACGCGATTGTCAGGTATTTGTGATCTGCTTTAGAACTTTCCATAATGTTTTTGGATTGTTTTTGGGTTTTTGTATTTCATTCTTTTCACACTCCCTTTTCAGTCTCTTAATTAATGCGTTGCAGTAGATACAATATCGAGCATATGTCACACGGAAGTTTGTTTTCAGGCGATCTTGTATATTACATATATAAGATGCGAATTCTAGTTCTGGTCTGGATTGGTGAAAGAGAATCTGGTTGCCTATATTGCAAGATTGGGGCTCTGATTTTCTCTATGCTTATATCTCTATGACGTGAAGCATTTAATATTAAGTTGATTGAAGTAAGTTCAATAAATAATAAAAAAAGATTTTACCAGTTCCTAGACTGATTCTCAATGCATTATATCATTTTCTTTATTTCACCTAATTACTATTATAAATTTTTTTTTACAATTATTTGAAAACCGCGAACTACTAATATGACAAATGATTAACACATTTTATTTTTTTAGTAATACATACTAAAAAAATAAAATGTGTAAACTAATATGGTATTGACAACAGAAAGTGTTACTAATAATTATTTTAACAGTAATCATTTAACAGGTATATTAGGTTTTATTTAGATCGTTTTCACTTTCGTTCTAATAAAATAAAATGCTGATCAATGATGTAAAATTAACACTTACGGTATGTGTGACAATTAAAATCAAACACCCTTTTAAGCACAAAACGGTACTACAGTATTTTTTTTGTGTTTTACTGTACTTTGCATAGGAAATTCAAATAACTTTGGCATCATCAATAAATATCTTTAAATAATTTTCTATTAATGTTTGAGTTTAAGCAAAAATAACAACAATAGCTAAAATAATACAAATTATTTTAGATTATTTTGGGAAACTTAATTACAATAAGGCTTTTTATAAATATATTTTTTATATAATAAATACTTTATGGGTAACTACCCAATCGTCTGACTTAAAAGGCCGTTTCACCAAGGTCCTAAACAAAGTAGTAAAAAGAAAAAGCAAACGCCATTTTTACGTTACAAAAATCACGAGAATTTGCGATTTGTTGTTATAATTGTGATAATTTCTGGTTCAAATACGTAATCCAACGCCACTTCAGCAGTCTAAGTGTTGTCATTGGAGGATAATAGATTGTGGTCCGTCAACAAATATCAAGGTAACTAGTTGTTGTATAAATGTTATTGAATTACCTACCCTGGAAATCAAATAAATTATTGGTAAAGCATGTGTTAGTAGTTTTTAATGAAATTCAAAATGTATATAATGTAATTAAATCGTTAAAGTACCTAAGATATTTTAACGATTAAAAACGGTCTAATTTTAAATGAACGTTGGTTATGAAACATTGTTATCATTTAGTAGGTAAACAAATCAAGTTAATAAAAGTCCCTACTTATCAACATTAGATATCTTAACCAGTATTGGATTGGAATAGAATTCTTGATGCGCTGAACCATAATTATCTCACTTTATTTACAGTTAAAATGAGTGACTCAACAGACCAGAATGAACCCCCGAAAGACGTAAGTATTCTTTTTTAAGGTGTACTTTAAGGCTTTGTACAATAAAAAAGTTAATTTATCTATTAGCCTTGAAGTTTCTATACAGTCTGTACAAATTGGTTAGATTGTACAGGAGTGGTTTACACCTCAACAACTGTAAAACTGCCACCTGCCAACATGGGATTGACCCACATGGTGAAAGTTTTGGTGTGATTAACAGATAATTGGTTTTAGGCCTGAGTATACCAATACATTAGTAATACGCGTTAAAATAAAGGAAAGTCTCTCTAATGCAGGAGTTGTGCATTAACCTTTTGACCACTGCAGTACATGACAAAGCAAAATGATTGCATGACAGACTTATAAGTCGTTTATAATAATAATAATAGCCCCTTATACCAAAGTAAGAGATTACAAAAGTACATTTTGTTGTACATTGTTACATGATATTAGTTAAACTATGTCTCTTTAATTTGGTGAGCCTTTTGGCATAGGCCTCCTTCTACCATTTCCATTGTTGTCTGTCCTGAGCAATACTTCTCCACATTGGTCCCACTGTCAACTTGATCTCATCTTCCCATCTTATGTTTTGTCTTCCTCAGCTTCTGTGTCCATCCCTTGAGTACCATTCCGTAACAGTTTTGCTGCATTTCCCCTTATTTTCCCGCATCATGTGACCTACCCATCTCCATTTTTGCTGATCGATTCGATTCAATATGTCGGTGAGTTTAGTTTTTAGATGTAGGTCCATATTTCTCACTTTATCCTGTCGTTTACATCCTGTCATGCTCCTTTCCATTGCTCTTTGGGGTATGGCAAACTTTTCCCTTAATATTTTAGTAAGAGCCCATGTTTCGCAGCCGTATGTTAAGCATGGTAGGATACATGATTTGAAGGTCTTTGTCTTCTGTGACATGCCCAGGTCCTTTTACTTCATTATTTTCTTGAGCAACAAGTATTTACTCCATCCAGAAGCGATCCTGAAGTTGATTTCTTTTGTCATTTGATCTTTGGGTGGATCTTCCACATACTCCAATAGTTCGTTATTAATGCTGATGTCGGTTTTTCGGGAGTTTTTCATTAATTTTGCCTTAGTAGTGTTCATTTTTAGTCCGACTTTTATACTTCTCTTAGATTTTGTACCATATATTCTAGCTTTTTAGTGCATTCTTTTAGTAGCACTAGGTCGTCGGCGAATCTTAGATGGAGCATTCTAGATCCGTTTTTTAATAATGCCATATTCTTCCCAGTTAAGTTTACAGAATAAATTTTCCAGTACCGTAGAAAACAATTTTGGGGAAAGTGGGTCCCCCTGTCTCACACCTCTTTGTATTTGAAATTCGCTTCCCAATGTCTCTAGACGAATCCTTGCTTTGATATTGGAGTATATGCATGTTATAATTTTGATATATATGGTTGGTATTCCTTGGTGTTCTAGTCTTAAAAGGCTATGAATATATCCTTATTGTACTTGTTGTATTTCTCAAGTATTTGTTTAACAGTATGTGGTCAATGGTTGAAAATCCTGCCTGCTCGACTGGTTGTTGTTCGTCTAATTTTAAGCTGATTCTGTCTAGTATTATCTTTGAGAAGACTTTGTATACATTGGATGTCAGACAAATAGGTCTATAGTTTTCTATGTCTTCTTTGTCTCCTTTCTTATGTAATAAGATGATGTGAGATTCATACATACAACTGTATGATTTAGCCTGTCACTGAACATTTTCCATGAGCTGAATGAGTATGAAATCACATATCAATCATATTGTATATATATACAAGAGAACCTCACTTTGTTATGCCTAGAAATGTCATTTAAGAGCTGATCTTTTTTTTGTCTCAGGTATCTTGGATATAAAGAATGACCAACGTTTTAGACAATATAAGCCTATATAGGCTTATATTGTCTAAAGCTTTGGTCATTCTTTTATTTATTATTGATTTGTATTTGTTGCAGCCGAAAGAGTTAGAGAAACTAGAAGAAGCAAAATTAAAAGCCAAGTTTCCAAATGCAATGCTTGGTAGAGGACCTGGAGGACACTCAGCTTTTCTACAGAAAAGGCTAGCAAAGGGGGTATGTATTAGTGTCATGTAAATTTTACCTTGGAATGTTTATAAGTTTTTTTTAATTTGGGTCAAGTCTTGGAGTATTATGTTAGAAGTGTTGGCTATTTTCAGTTCTTCTTTGCTTTACTTCTAGGAAAGCAGTGTCCTAAGATTTGTTGACATAACTTTTGCTGGTAATGTAATGATAAAAAAAATATTTAGCTAAGAAATGATAATATAATTAGAAAACTAAGACTACTAATAATAAATAACTCTATATACTCAGTATTTATTTATATTTTTTAGTTTTTATAAAAAAATGGAATAGCGACTTGCACCTAGTTTGGCCTGTCGTGAATATCATCTTCCTACCCTTTTTCCAAAGTTATTTAGGGTTGGTACTATGAATTTTCGTCTTCCATTCTCCTTGATCACTCAATATCCTCTTTCATGCACTCCACATTGAAAGATTTTTGGGAATTCACAACACTGTTTTTCCTATTGTCAAACTAACACATTAACATTGCTTCTCCCTTAGATCCCTTCTCCTTTTGTGTATATCAGTTTTAAATATTATAATATCATAATTTCTCTAGAACACACTATTATTAGACAAACATTGATGTCGGACTTTCTTTTTCCTATAAACCTTTTAACAACTTATTAAAAAGCCGTAACCTTTCCAGCAAAAATTCTTTGACTCTGGCGACTACCAAATGGCAAAGCAGCGGCCGAGCAACCTGGCAGCGCCGTTCAAAGCTCCGGCCGCGCCCGCCAAGCTGCCCACGGGCGACGCCATTCCCACGCCCGAGACCGTGCCGCTGCGCAAGACGTCGATCATTCAGCCCAAGTTTCAAGCGCCGAGCCAGACCTCCTAGCCCTCGGGGTCAGCGCGTGGTCTCGCTCTACGACCTTGTCATCAATAATATTCCACATTTTTTTTTTGCTAGTTATGCGTCCCACTCGGTATCGCTTACACTTTAACGAATGCTATTCATTCACTATATAGTTGCATTATTTTGTCTATCATCAATCATCACAGAACATTTTGGTTTTACCAGCACATTCAGATTTTATTATCAACATTTGTGATTTGTAATTAGAAGTGGTATGTTAAAATTTAAACAAACTTTTATAAAAACACTGTTATATTGATGTATAAAATTAGGTTATATTAATGTGTTGAATGTGTGTGCACAATGCTACAGTGGTATTGTCGTGTTTGTTGATACACTTCATTATAGACAAACACCAAACTCTGTCAGCTTACCTACTCCAGTGAAGATATTCCTATGACAATATTAATCTCGTATAGTTTTTATAGCAGCTTTCTATTTAAAGTTCATATGTTGTGTGAGCACTCTTTGTAATGATTTCTCTGATCTGATCACCATTTTTAATAGTCAGTAGCAACGATTGCTATGGAAGCATTAATTCATGTTTCACTAATTTGCTATTAGAAATTAACTCTAATTAAATTGTGAAGACTTTTATTCAGAGTAACATCCATTAGAATAAATAACTTTCCTCTCGTCTATAATGTACATATTAAAATCCTGTCAGATTATATCAGGGAAGGAAGTTTTTATGTTTCAAGGTACAGTTTAAAATTAACATTTATGTAATCATGTATTTAATATATTTATATATATGTATAATCTCCTTATCAATATTGTTTCAATATGATGGCAGTAAAGACTGTGTACATATGCCATAGTACTGAGTAAATAAGTGGTTAAATTACATGAATAAGGGTTTTTAAATAAGGGAGGGATGAAATAAATCTGCTCTCTAGTGCGCTGGATACAATGTAATAAGCAACTAACTCATTCATGCGAGGGTTTTTATTTTTTGTATTTTGTAGCATTTGTGCAAGTTTAGTACATTTGGGGATTTAGAAATGACTTTAACTTTGGACTTTCAGTGCTACTGTAGTGTATCTAGGTGAGGCAACACTTGAAATAGTACTTACTCACATAATATTGATGTTTCTAATATAGGATATAAAGCAGTCTGTTGTATAGCCAATAGAAGGAACGTACAAACCACATTGTATAACGTTCGCACGAAAGTGATAAATGTATGATTAAGGAATTTTGAAGAGATAGCTACTATATTTAATTAAAAATAAATTCTTGGTAAAAAAAAAACTTTTTTATTGTGTGCGTACCTTTGGAGCGTGGGAAACTATAACAAGGTTAACATAATGAGATTACGAATACAATAAATGGCACTTGTTAGATAAAAATTAAACAACTGAGATTAACATCGTCGCGTCTGCATTGGATCATCTCTTTGGATATCCCTTCATGCAACTAGTCTTCTTCACGTATGTCCTTTCTTCATAAATTCCCTTCTGCTGTTATATTTGATTGCTCTCTGTAAATAAAAATAACTATTGTACAAAACATCATTAAATATAACAATTGAATGAGGTTAATATGAATATAAATTACATTTAAATTCTCAAAAGGCACTAAGAAACCTCGCGCTACTATATACGACCACAACGCAGGCCCTTAAACTGGACCGATTGGCCTAGTACAGCTAAGTGACATTGTAAAACTATATACATGTGATATTTGGATATACATGAGATAATATAATTTTATACGAAAACAGATGTCTGGATGATATGTAACGCAGTGCCCTTGAACCCTTTTAAAATGAAATATTCATTGACATAGTGTAACAAATAGTGTAAATACTCTGGCTCCTAAACTAGTGTGAATTATAGGACCCAGTGACTTCACATTGTTACATGTTTATATAGTTCTGTCAACAAAAAAAAATAGAAAAGAAACTGGTTTAATTTATTATTATTTACGTACGTTACTTTCATTCGTAATGGATGACTTAATTTATACTCAGCAACAATTTGATTTTGAGTTAAATATGAACAAAGTTCACTACTGCAATTATAATTCTCTACTTGACAAATGACTACAAACTTTACATTTAACATATTAACTTGTTACGATACAGCTAGAGTCACTCCTTGCAGAACACCTGGGCGGTATAAGGAAGGTCAGACATTCTCTTTCTCATATGGTTTTTAATTTGTATATTGCTTTCGCCAAAGAAATGTGAAAGGGCCACTATTGTACAGAAAGTACACACAAGGTAGTTTAATAGGCTTGTGTCCATTAAGAATAAATATAATGGATTGGGGTTTATAATGATTAATTATATTATGATGAAAATAACAAACAATTTTAATTATTAAAAGCGTTAAAGATTAATAATATTTTTAAAAAATAAATTTCGTAAAATGAAACCTTTAGTCACGTGACAGTGAACACCAATCAGAAAGCGTTACGTCACGCCGTGCGAAACTCCAATCTTGTCTTTGACGTTTCGAGTATCACTACCGGTTCTTGATAAAATTTTGGTTTTTAACAATTAATATCAAGTTGATACAGTTTTTGCTAATTATAATTTGAAAGAATTAACCATGGAATCTGGATTCAGCAAAGCAGAGAGTAATAATTTGCCCAGAATCGATGCCGTTATGCTTGGAAATTTTTTCGCCTCTAACAGTGACTTTTTCTCATCTGAATTTCGCAATGTTAAAACTTCCAAAGTTAATAACTAGTAAGTTAATAACTAGTTTGTTAATAACTAGGTATTTGCCATTTCAAACTTTAAATCATTTAGGTAGTTATGTTGTTTGATATTATACGTACTTAAACTTGTATCAGAAGTATCTATAAGAGAACAACTTGGAGTACAACTTTCTTTTGATTCATTCAGACACTCTTCTATTATCATCTTTCTTTGTTTTTTAGAATATATGGCCGTTCTGTACTGCTGCATGTTCGTTTTCTTCTGTCTTCTTGACATCCAAATTTACTTGGCATACAACCTGGTTGGTTGCGCACTTGTGATACTGTTCCCTTCATATGATACTCCATATAATTAATCATATCATTTGGCAACTAGAATAAATAATAAAAAGAGTATGTTTGTAACGTTCACTCCTAAAAGTGAAACAACTTAACCTGAACTCATGTATTTATTATTTAGAAAATAGGGATTCTACAAAACACATCTAGTTTGCTCGAATTAAGTAATAGATTGTATTGTGTGAAATACTTACATCAAAATGATCTTCACAAAAATACATTCTTGAACCTGTTGATAAAGTATGAGCATCATCTCTTCTTGCAAGTTTTAGCCACTTTTTCCGTATTTCTCCATTGTTTGGAACATATATAAATAACTTGTTTGGCGTTTTTATAGTCGTGCTATCACACTGGGGCACTATACAGTACTTATAATATGAGAAATTCATTTTTAAACGATAAAAACTAGCTATAACGTACGAAGACACGATCGCTCTTTGGTTTGTTTCGCACGGCGTGACGTCATTCAAGACGCCATGACAGTCTTGTGCGTTTTGGAACCAAATTGAAATTGGTTTTTTAAAACGCGAAATTTATAATGTAAACGCTCGATTAAAAATAAATAAACCTTTTTTTTTCGATAAAATGCCTAATAAGCTAAAATATTAAGCAGTTATTGAAATTTTGTCAACTAGCCTATTCTCTACGTTCTGCACTTGTACTTCTGGACCTGCCAATGTACGGAAATATTGGTAAAGAAATCAAATATTAAGGGAGTACAATCTGAAAATCAAAGATGCAAATATTTTTTGGCATCACTATTATCGACCAAACATAAGATAGCCAGGAAGTGTTACCTGGGTTCCAATGAACATAATCAGGCGTGGCAGCAGCTTGGTACTCTTGTACAAGATCGTCGACAACGCCCCGAGATTCGTCGAACTCCTCAAGAGATTCCTTGAACATAGGCTCCTTACGGAACACCTCTAAGAAAGCCTCGCGTTTGCGCAGCTTGTCGAACTGTTGTAGACATCTGTCGAACAACTATAGAAAGTATGAAATAACTGGGCTCATTACGCTACTCTATTGTTATGGTCCAGAATCTGCGACCTCATTCTATCAATTTTTTTTAAAATATAAGGAATAAATAAGCAGACGGGTCATCTGATGGGGGTGACTACGGCCGCCCAAGAAAGCATTAATAATCTGGAATAAGGTCAAATATTCTAGACAATAACAACGCGCTTGCTTAAATTGTGGCGTATTGCATAATATGTCGGTTTCGGTGTTCACCAACGAGTGCCTCTTATAGTAATACCAGTGTTAAAGGCCCATAGAACGAGCTACGACATGCGTTTGAGTATATTTGATTAGGTAATCATCCGTATGACTATTTAAGTAGTGGTATGGTTGACGATTGGCAGACCAGATACCTTAACCCTTTCATTGCTGAATAAACACATCACTAAACACATTTTTCGGTCCACAAGATTTGGCCACACAAATGTTGTGTTTCGTACAGCGGTGCTAATAACACACACGTTGTGTTCCCGACGAGCGTGCTGTAACCCACACCCCTTGTGTTCCGTACCAGAGACGAGAGTGTTGAAAACACAACTATTGTGTGGCGTACGTAACGGCAATGCGTGAAAACATACGTTTGAGTGTATGTTTTTTATTTTCGTTTATTTTGTCCAATATGAGATCTACGAATAAATATCAAACTCTTTATCTTTGAAATATAATATTAATTACAAAAAAAAAACCTCAAAGGCAAGTCTGCATTTAAGATATACTTCCAAGATATTTTTATTGAAATATAAAAGAAGAGTGTGTAAGATTTTCTTGTGAGTTTATTATACTACTCGCTTTATTGTTTTCTTGCTAGCTATTTTGCAAACATTTTGAAAAACAATGCTCTTTCATTGTTTACAGTGTACGAACACAAGGGGTGTGGGTTACAGCACGCTCATCGGGAACACAACGTGTGTGTTATTAGCACTGCTGTAAGGGAACACAACAGAGGGCCTAGTGTCATGTCAGTTTCTTTCCCATCAACTCGCTCGTCACGGTGACCGCGTTCGGCGCTGCGATTGGTCCGCGCTAAAATCTTCACCAATCACAACGCCAAACGCGTTTGCTGTCGAGAGCGAGTAGAAGTGAAAGAAAAATTTACACTAAGCCCTCAGTTGTGTTCTATACGCACTGTCGACTGTTCACAATACTTAATTGCTGAAAACACACTATGTATATTCGTTAGCAGTCTAAGGGTATTTCTTATATATTATAGGTAGCAGTGAAGGTATTAAGTGATTTCTGACAAACAGTTATATTATCTTTGTTTGAGGCCCCAAATGGGCTTTATGACTTAAGGCAGATATCCTTACCGAGGATATGTTAGTGTGGTTGGCGAGCAGCAGGCCCGAGACCTTGTGTGAGGCGTGTACGTAGGGCGAGCGGCGCGACAATGCAACCTGTATAGATGCGGGGCCCCAAGGTATGAAAGATGCCAGCTTACGCTCTCGGATCCTTTGCAGCGACTTGTGAACCTGAGATGGATCCACTTCTCCCTAGAAGCAATTAATTTTAAATTTATTAAAACTATTATGTACAACAATTTTCTTAAAGATACTTTTTATATTTGGCTGCGCAAATTAAATTACATTTTATTTTATGTTTTGGTTTGCTATTTCAGAATGTAGATTTCAACAATCAATTTAGGTGTTTTTCGGGTACAGTATCTGTTTTATGGCTAAAAGGTATATCAATTACTTTTCGGTACCTCAGATAACTTGTATACACAATAGCATTATTATCGATTAACGTAATTATAACATCAGTTGTGATTCTACGTTTTGATTACACATAAAATTATAACAACTTTAAATAAATAAATATAACTATCATCAGGTTTATGCCTTAAAAAGACGACTCCCGCAGTAGGAATATATTCTGTGTAGCGGGGGACTTTACAAACATTCGTGAAACGGCCACGAAGAACACCCATGTTTGTTCATTTACCTGTATAATATTCAATATTGATATATAGCAATGCTGATTTGTTCTGTCGGGACTTAATGAGACCATCATATTTTTTGGCTGCAATAACCGCTGCATAACGTCTAAAACTGTGGTTTTTCGAATTTTCGGCGCCTAAAAAAAGACACCAAAATAAAATTAATGAGTATTCTTCTCTGGTAAGTTCTCTTGTTCTTCTTTTCTCGCGAGGTAACTTACGGTATTTAATTCGTGGTCAGCCGTAAGAGGTGTGTAGCCCGTCATGAGGAAGTGTAGCCGCGGGGTCGGTATCAATGGAGCCACGAGACTGATCAGATCGTTGTTCATGTACGATGGGTACCTGCACAAATCTTAACATTAACTAAAAAATAAAACATGTTTTTTACATAAGTTATGGAAATAACATGCTATCCTTTTTTTTTTTTTTTTTTTTAACGTGTGGAAATCCCCTCGGACCGTCACCCCACCGGGGTTTGCGGCGGGGTGGTGTGTCGGACTCGAACCGACTAAAACCACACGGTGTGCCCTCTTTGCGCTTCCAGTTTAGGAGGGGTCCAGGTAGTTACATAAACATAATATCATAAATAACAAATAATATCAATAAATAACATGCTATCCTAACATAACCTTCTTGTTTCGCAACCTTTTCATGGCCCAAATACTGTTTTGATAGTTTAATAACTCCAATGAATTGAAGTTCTTCCATCCTTCCATATAGTAATAATAGCGGGTCGCGACCATAAGTTGTGTATGTTAATAAAATGGTAGCGCGTAATGAACTCGAGAAATTTTCATTGCGCGATATAGGTCCAGGAGTATGATTTGCTCTATATCGCGACAACTGTAAAACTAAAGGTAGATCTGCATTTTAGCATCGATAACTAACTTCCATGAGTATTGGCGCTTTTATCCTTGAATATACATCTAATAGTAGGTAAAACAACTATAATACCTAAGTGTGGCGGTGCTCGCACTCATGATAGTTGAGACGAGTGTGTTGATCTGTGCGAACGATGGATTCTGTATGTGCAGTCGGTCGCTGGCGATGCGGTTAAGTGCTGTGTTATCTAGCACCATCACGCAGTCTGCGCTTTCCGTTAGACGCTTCAGTGTGAGCAGTGAGTTGTATGGCTGTACTACTACGTCACTGGAAACAAAAAGGTTCTATTTACAATATCCTTCAGTAAGTACGTACGTACATTTACGTGCGTATACGTGCTTTCGTGTCGTAAATGTCTTACACTATAAAATGGGTTTTATGATATAAATCTGACAATCTAATGTTTATTTAGATTAAATTCCACTATACTCTTTAGTTTTTAACAAATAAAAGCATGATTTAATGTGGTAATATAAGAAATAAAACTATAATAATAATAATATTTTCGGACATCTGACACGCAACGCCACCTAGTTTCAAACTAAACAGAGCTTGTACTAAGTACGCTAGATTGACTGATAGAATACTTTTATACTTTTTTTCGTAAATACATAGGTAAATTAATACATATTACACAATGTAAATACCCAAACTCCGAAACAAATATTTGAAACTGTACAATGTTTAATTATTAATTTAGTAGTTAACCCGATTAACTGACTGTTTGAAACGTCAGATAATTCTAATGTATGTACCTAATACCTATTACTCGTGTTAATTCTCGAAGTAATAATTATGTTTCGTGGTATCCGAAAGTTTAAAAGACCAACTTTGGTCGGCCATTTATAAAAATAACATCGATGACGACGAATACCATATTAACGGATGGGCAACAAAACTGTTATTTATTTAGACATTTAAAATTTTCATTGTTTGCAATCTTTACATAAAATTTTGATAAAACTCATCAGTTCTTGATCAATCTAGATAAGGTATGTGTGTGGCATAGTGAAAGAGGCATCACGAAACTGTAACAAATTCGTAATAGCAATTGCGTGACTATATTTAATAACTGAGGTATAAGAATAATTCCTTCATGGTTGCCTGTTTTTTTTTAATATTCATTTAAAATGACTATTAAAGAACAAAGGGTTATTATTATTTAATAGATTTATAACAGATGGATAGATAAATTAGATTATAGAAAAATGATTGCTTATGTTTTTTTAATAAAACCTACTTACTACTAGAAGTTTCTATTTAAGTAAAAGAAAACAATGTTTTCAGTATTGTAGTAGTAATAAAGTTATATATTACTAAATACAAACATAAAACAATAAAAAAGTATCTTTCAAGAAATTTGCCACTAAATTAAATTTAAAAGATGCTTGTTATTTATTTCTGATAATAACAACTGGTGTTATAAGTCTACCAACATAGCATATCTCTAAACATAAACAATACAATACAAATACATTATAGAACGCATAAGCTTTAATAAGAAAATCTGCCTTTTCCAGGTTCTTGGGTGGGCAGGGGCTCCTGCCTAACCTAACCAAGAACAGCCTTGACTTGCAGAGTCAAGGCTTTCTGTTTTTAAGAAGTACTCCTTCCTTAGATAATTTAAATACAGGCAAACATTTTTTCCTAAACCCCTACCGACTAGTTGATAGTAATATACACACAAAAAAAACTAAAATAATTACCTTATTTCATCCAAGTTGGGAAACACACTGTATGTTTGGACAAGTTTCTTGGGAAACCTGTCTGACAAGTGTTCTAGGATGTAGGAGCCCATACCTGAGCCTGTACCACCAGCTATGGAGTGGCAGAGCACAAAACCCTGTAAAAAGAAAATTGTTGTATGTCATGATGTAACTGGCCTTGTATGAATAGCAACATGGCTAATTGACATTGATATTACATGAATATTACACATAAGACTCTCTTTCAATTTAAGGTCCAGCCCCTTTTCAGTGGAGTAATCACCATGCCTCTCTTTTTTCTGTAATCTGTTTTACCTCTTGATAGGTCACAACTCCTACTGTCTCTTTTATTTGCTGGAAGACATTGTGATTTATAAAAGTTAACAAATAAGAAATTGTAGTTTGTATTGTTTTGGTATATCGGCCTTCACTTACACTATGAAAAAAATATTAAAATTACTAAACATATAAAAATGATATAAAAAAAGAAGGAAGAAAAAATAAGTTTTATACAAAAAGTAAAGAGGAAAATAGGAGTTAGAGATGTATCAAGATTAAAATAAATAGAAAGGATTAGCAGTTGCTCCACCATCAAGAATGTAAACCTTTATATGTAATTAATAATAGCAAGTTTTATAGAAATATATGAGGATAATGTCTATGATCAGTCATACCAACCTCTAAGTTATCACTTCCATCAGCTTCTCTGTTAATAATATCAAACACCTCTTCATTCAGTTTCTCGCCCTGAGCATATCCTGATGCCCAGTTATTACCCGCACCTCCACCATGTTTGGATAGGTAAACATTTTCAGGGTTGTATAACTAAAAGGAATAAAATAATATAACTCTTTATTTTATTTTATAAAAGCTAAAACAATACTTTTATAGATTTAAGAAGAAATTTTAAGAGAACTCATTTGTATGTTTTATAATAACTATTTTGAACTGTGAGTCGTCTCTTACCTTTGCATACGGTGAATTCATGATAGTGTGTATCACACGAGGCTCCAGATCCAACAACACTGCCCTTGGAATATAATGATCATCGTCTGCTTGATAGAAAAACACATCTTTTCGATCCGAGCCTGCCGAGGCATACTCCTCTAATATTCCCTCAGGAGATATCCCATGTTCTATGCATAGCTGTTTCCAGAACTCGAAACCGACTGTATGTAAACCATTAAAGTTAATATAAAGCTTAAAACATAAATAATTTAAATTAACGAATTTAATTACATTAGTTTCACTCACTCTGATTGCCACATTGGCCGAGTTGCAATGTTATCATTTCACTCGGCATCTTGAAATAGTTTTGTTTTGTGGTTGTAAAAACGAATTACTCCCGAAATCTTAAATTATTTTTCAAAACAACATAAACAAATCCATGAACCGCTCGTCCATTCGTCAAGTTTTGTTTGCTTCACATCCAATTTAAATAATTGAAAATATGATGGTACTCCAAGTTTGTTATTGGTGTGAAAAAACGACATCTCCATTTCCACCAATAGGAATCCCGCATTGAATTGGAGTGATGACATCGAAAAAACATTTCACTTTGAATACGTTCAGTAAATAATAGTTTTATAATTTGTTGTAAAATTCATATTGAAACTATTTAACTGACTTTTAAAACTAGTATTAGGTTCAGTTAAATAGGATTCATAAAAATATATAAATAAATTCAGTGTACATCAAGAATATTATGAACGCAGGAAAATCAAAATGACAAAAAAAAAACGTCAAATTACAACTTATCTCTGTTTGTCAAGTGTCAAGCACTGTCAAATCAAAGTAAAGTTCCATATAAAAACTTTAATATAAAGTTAAAGTTGTCACAAAAAGTTTTGTAAAGCAGTTCTTTTTAAAATAATAACTAGTATACTTTCAATTTATGTGTGATAGAAGAATTCAGTAACTATAATTGACTATTTATTTACGTGGTATTCATTCATAAGATTACTTCAAGCAATACAGGTAGGAGTTGTGGTCGTAGTTGATGGCCTTCGGTAACATATTACTTAACTTTGGTACACACAGATGTCAGACTCAAAATTTTAATGAGATATCGTTGTAGGCGTAACTTTCATGTCTACAAGGTCCACTAACTCTCCCATGTGATATTGCTAAAATAATACAATGTAATTATTATAACATAGACCTTCTTGTAAGAATGTTATACAATGTAGTTCTACAACTAAATTATATAATTTAATAAATTAACATAAATAAATAGTGATGTCTGATTAGTGATTAGTATGTTGACTGTTCTGTTCTTTAGTTAAACCAATAATACTTAGCTTAAGAAATCATTTAAATCAATACAGGTAATATTTATTTAAAGGTGAAGTTAGAAAAACCAGTTGGAAGAAAACCAATATGCCGCGTAAATTGTTAAAGTTCTTGATAGTGTTTGATAACACATCATTGCTGTATTTCCCTGGCCAGTTCTTGTCAGGGAAAGTGCTTATGGAGTTGCAAGATGACACACCTGTGTTAGGTAAGTAAATATACAAGTGAATCATTCATTATTTGAATGAGAAATTCAAATAAAGAATGAGTTTAAATATATTTTTTGTTTTATTATGGTATGCTTATGAATTTGATCTGCTCTGATATTCATTTGTTTTATGTAAAAAAAAACCACAGAATATACTTTCACTAAGCAAATTATATTTTACAAAAGTTTGATATGAATTAAATAAAAATATGAAAACTATATTTTATTAGAATAAAATCTGTATAGAGGAAGCGCTCATATAAAATAGCTGCACTTCAACTCATAAAATTGCAAAGAGCTTTTGTGTTCTGAACAGTTGATATAGGTAACTTTGAAAGAAGTATCACTTTCTTAAATATAATTAAATTATAAAAAACTAGCTGACCCGCGCAACTTCGTCTGCGTCTCTCAATAGTAATAAATTTTCTCCGTTTTTTAAACATTCTTCATTGGTGCTCCGCTCCTATTGGTCTTAGCGTGATGATATATAGCCTATAGCCTTCCTCGATAAATGGGCTATCTAACACTGCAAGAATTTTTCAAATCGGACCAGAAGTTCCTGAGATTATCGCGTTCAAACAAACAAACAAACAAACAAACTCTTCAGCTTTATAATATTAGTATAGATTGTTGTATTCTTCATATCATCACATCCACAGCCTTTAATAGTCCACTGCTGGACATAAGCCTCTCTTTAGAAAGGAGGTTTTGGCTTCCTATACTATGCTGGCCAGACGGGTTGGTATAGGGTTAGTGTCAAGTTTTCTTTCTCTCTGCAGTGCTGTTGTTCTGCGTAGTTTTTTCCATTAGTCGGTTCTTACGACACACACGAAACAAATAGGGGTGGTGGCACTCTGTATTCTTTATCCGTCTCCACACGGACCCTATTCTTAATCCCTTTAAATAATTTTTAATAAAGGTGGAATGTTCTGAGAATGACCAATTTGAGATAAAAGAGGTTGCGTTAGAAATTAAAAAAAAATGTGCTAAAGGCACACCTTAAATGAGTTTTTAAATTTTATGTTCTTACTATGGAGTTTTGTAGATAATCCTGTCTTTATCAACATTGTAAAGTTTGATTGGAATGTGTAAGATTAATTTTGCAAGGTATGGTTGGACATTGATGATTAAATATAAATTAATAAACATATAAATAAATTGTAGAAAAGTAAAAGTTGTTAAAAAATTAGATGCACACTCGCAATTTCAGAAGTAAGAGTTATTCCTGATTTCCATCAAAAAATAAATTTTTGAGTTTGTATCTAAATGTATTAAAATCAATTTAACTGTAACACTCAAAGTAACTGTATTAAAATCAATTTTATTTATTTCTTACAATATCATTACAGACTAAGTCCAATCCGATATTGTAGTATTCTATCAGTCAACCTAGCTTTCATAGTACAAGCTCTGCTTAGTTTGAAACTAGATGGCGTTGTGTGTCAAATGTCCGAATTATTGTTATTATTTCTGAATTACAAACTACTTCAACTTATTAGTAACAAATTTTACCAAATTCTATAATTGTGAATTCAATCAAAGCACAATAAAATATATCCACATCCTCAACTATGAGCCACGTACTGGAAAGCGCAGTGTGGGACGACCGCTTACCCGATGGACGGACGACCTGGTAAAGGTTGCCGGAAACCGTTGGATGCAGGCCGCAATCAACCATCCCCGCTGGAAATCATTGGGAGAGGCCTATGTCCAGCAGTGGACAAGCATAGGCTGAGGTATATATACATCGTCAACTATGAGCAAGCAGGAAATCGATATATATAAAAATGTTAAGTTCAAAAAGTCAATAATTTGTTTGAAGTATAGATTTTATCTATTTTCATGTCAGTTTTAATGTTTCATTTCTTATTAATGCAACCACAGTCTGCCCCGGAGAGGCAAGCGTGGCAGGATACTTAATCATTGTAAGACCATATCTGCAAATTGTGATATAGCTTTTGTCAAGAAACTACTTTCACATGAAACTATGCTAGGTTTTTATGTCAAATTTCTTCCTCAAATTCATAAAATTAAATAAAATTGTTATTAAAATGAACAGTCTCATCTCATCCGTAAAAAATTGCATGTTGTAATTAACATAATATTTTGTAATTGTGTGTATGAATAAATTTTAAAGACGATTAAATCGCAAACAACTTTTCGAGAGTAGTGCTAAGGCAATAAATATTATCAAAAAACTACTATTTTATACAAAACAATGAGATTTATTAGTATTTCCTTTTTATGTAAAATACCGTGGGAATTAATGAGCCGGCTCTACCAGAATGATACCTCGGCCTCATATAAAACCTTTCGATTTTTCGCCCCTCGGGCCGTCACCCCAGCGAAGTGTGCGGCGGAGCGGTGTGTTGGAATCGAACCTCCTAAATCCACACGGTGTGTCACTCTGCGCCTGAAATAGGAGGAATCCGGGAACAGCTGTTATTAAGGCATTCGGACCGCTCCTAGCGCCTACCCGCAATATCACGGGCACAACCTTCCGGTGCATTCTCTATTTAGGTAACGTCCGGCACACGCGGACGTCACCTCCTCGCGGCTGGTCACTATGGCAGATGGGGGGGGGGGAAACCCATCCCGTCGGGTGGAGGTCGTCCCCTCGGTCCTCTCTGCCGCCTCTTGCGACACGACGTCTTCGCAAAAAGATGCGACCGCGGTAAAACATCTGTCGCTACCGGTCATGGAGCGTATGACGGTCTGTAGCGAGAGATCCTTTTCGATGGTTGCAGAGTGAGGGCCCGAAGCTGCGTCCCCAAGTGGCTTGAGCCGAGTCCTCACTGCAGTCGCAGGGGTGACAGGTGGGACTCTATTCCCTCCTAGCAATCGAGTGCAGATACCCCCGAACCATCCGAACCAACCGGAAGGAAAGGGTCCCGTGCTGCCATTCTGCTCACTCGACGATGACCGGCTGGAGCGTCTCCACAGCGGCAAAACTAGCTCATGGAGCCTCCTTTCGCCACTCGCGTACCTCTTTGGACGGGGGCCTAATGCTGCTATTTGCCTGAAACTCTTGTGGTCGGTGGGTTTAGTTCGGACTTCATAAACATTCCCTCGGGTGTACCGCAAGGGTACCACCATAGCAACTGTCATAAGTGTCTGGCAATGGATGACGAGATTTCTAAAGTTACCCTAATAAAATATAAAAAAATTGAGCTTTATACTTTAACGAATTTAAGGTACTATTTTATACACCTTTACTACCTATTACCTGCCCAAGTAACCACTACCCAAACTCTATAGTCCCTGGTCGTTCTTACCTGTATAGGGGACACGCACAGAAGAACTTTCAGCTTTTATTAAATAACGAAGGTTTGGCCGTCGTGGGCTCTTGCTCTATTATTATGCTACACAATGACCTTAGCCCAATATAAATGCGGTGTCGTTGGTTCTCAGTAAGAATAACTGCACTATACAATTACAAAATTATGTAACGAAAGCTCACTTAGATAGCATTTTATTGCCCATTGTCAAACATCCTACTCTCCACGCTTGGTTTCGTACTGACACATACCTTCTCATACATTTTGCAATCAGTATGAGGTCACGATTGACGATAATGGCACAATAGTCTTCGTAACAAATGACATTCTGTATTATTATTTGAGAGGACTTTTCCTGTGTAACATCCTATACATGAATAAGAGATTTTTTTAGCAATAACAAGATATTTTTGTAGCCTTTTGGGAGAGCCAAGCTTCGGCACTAATGAACCAGCTCGACCGGAGTTATGCCACGGCCTCACAGAAAACTGGTATTAAGTAATTGTTTCGATGCTTTTCACCGAGTGAGTTAGGGTTATCGGGAAAGGATTGGGTGTAAAATCGCTGCGGATCTTCGACTACTTAGAGACACAGGAGCTGGTGTAGGTGGTGTTTCCACTAAAAACTACACCGACGGCCGGCCTCAGGTGCCCTACTCCGGGGAGAACCCGGACCATGTGATTTCAAATCCTCCCCGAATCGACGCCGCACTAAACCAGGAACTATTATGAGGAACACCTTCTCCATAAATTATTGAAATCCATGATTTTAATAATGCAACTACACCATTAAGAAGTTTTTTACTTATGCATTATCTATTTCAGGTTTACATTTCCATGTTATTGGTGAAGGAGTGGTAAGAGTCGGATCTGGACGCCATGAGAGACTGTTTGACAAGGAGAACTATATCGACTTCAGAATGAGGCTCCTCGGGGAATCAGGTAAGATTTTTTTCATTATTTGGCGAATGGAGAACATTTTGACAACTACCATCTAAAAATAATGAATAACAAAAAAATATTTTGAAATGACATTGATAATAAAAGAAAACCTTTTTTAGAAAAAAATAAGTTATCTCGGTTTTTTGGACACATGTTTCAGGCTGATGAACTTTTTATCGACTAAAACAAGATCTATTGTTTGATAGACTGACATGCGTCACTGGCATTATTTTAAGCAACACTGTAATAATGTTAAACACTAGTTAAGTATGTTAGGAATGTGTTTGAAGCTACATAAATGTCAAACAACCATATAAATATGCGGTACAGATGGTTTGAAGGTCACAATTTATTATTTGTACAACCTCCTTTTAAACCTGTCAGTTTTACGTTAAACCCCACTAGTGTTGTCACCAGTAGCGTATCAGGTGTAATTTAGTATAGGCACAGTTAACCATCGCATTTATACTTCTGTAAAATGAAATCAAATCCTTTAATTGTTTATACTAAAATTAAAAAAAAAAAGATTTTAATTGTCTAAAAAAAACTCAGTCTGTCGTGAAGCTTTAACTTTACACTCAATAAATGTATGTGTGGTCAGATTGTTTTATAATATTCGTTGTCCATAGGTAATATTATCATTGACTGATACGATTTAATGATATGCAATATTGTATTGGAATGTACTAATAGGTTTAAACGAGCGAGCCTGATGATGTGTGATGATGAGTTGAGTATAGCCAACCTCCAAAAAGGCCAGGCCACCACAAACGATTTTATTGGTAAAAAATAGCGCGGGTTTCCTTGACTTCCTGTTACTACCTTCCGTCCCTATTCCCGCAAATGTTACAGATTAAAAATAATTGTTACACGACGATTGACGATTTTACACCAGTACCACCTATGTAAATAATAACACTCAAGTTATTCCAAAAGTTGCTTAGTACATATTACTTTTAGTGATACGACAATTTTAACTTTTATGTCAATTTTTTTTAACTGCATTTAAAAATACATAACTAGTTCTAAGAAATTGTAACAGTTACTCGGCATTAAACCGTGGATATCTTAACAAACCTAGGTCACGGCACATCAGTCCTGTCTCCTGGTATACACAGCTTCCCATTCAAGTTAGGCCTCCCTATGGGCCTGCCGTCAACTTTCCTCGGGACACACGGTTGGGTTCAGTACTACTGCAAGGCAGCACTGCGAGAACCCAACGGCCTCACACACAAGAATCAACAGGTCTTCATAGTTATGAACCCAATTGATTTGAATTTGGAACCACCAGTTTTAGCTGTGAGTTTTTTGTCATACTCCTTAACTTAAGTATTAAGCACTTTTCCTTGAAATTGTGCCCGTCTCTGTTAATTACCAAGTTCGTCTATTCGACTAGGTTAAGAGGGAGCGTATGATCAAACAGAAAACAGAAACCAATTATAAAACAAAATAATATTAAAAATGTAAATAGACCGATAAAGGTTCATTGCAGATAATCAATAAAAAATAATGTCAGTGATCATAAAAGGAATAAAAGTCAAAACATTTTTCTAAGATTTCTGAAAGAGAAATTACCGTGTGGTAATTTCTCTATTATTTATTATTATTATTTATTTCTCCTTCTCTTAATTTATGTTATACCACATAGGTACCTATATTAACTAATTTAATATAAGCCCAAAATCGATCTAAGTGGCGTGCAATGGGAGAGGCCTATGTCCAGCAGTGGACTGCGATAGGCTGATGATGATGATTAATATTTTTATTTCTGTGTTACCGCTTCTCACGGAGAAAATGTCATCTATATGTATAACATGATGTATTTATGTCTGTGGTAGCAACAGTTCGAGTGCAGCGTGGAACACCGGCTGGGCGTGGGGTGCGTGGGCGGCGGCACGGTGTCCTGCCGCGTGTCCCTGGACCGAGGAGCGTACGTGCCCGGCGAGAGCATTGTGCTGAGCGCGCAGCTCGTCAACAACTCGCGCACCACACTTAAAGCAACTCGCGCTGCCCTCACTGAGGTACGATCTGGGATTGTGACTGCTATAAGTACATCAACTTTGTGCTTGTATTGAGTGGATAATTTACAAAGTTGACTGACTTGTTGGTCTAGTGGATGGTGACCCTGACTTCTAAGCCAGAGGTCGCAGGTTCGTTTCTATACCAGGACAAATAATAGTGATATGAGCATAATAATTTGTTCTGTGTCTAAGTGTAATGCATCTCCCAGGGTACGTCGGGGTTCCAAGGATTTCCTTCCTAGGGTACACATGGATCCCCGATGGTGGTGGATGGTGTGCTCTTTTTAGTCGGTTAGAGTCCGACACAACCACCGGTGGGTGGTATCCGAGGGAATCTTCACACAGAAAAAAAAAGGTGTAATGCGTCTATTATGTTTCAGTATATATTCAGAAATTATGTTTATCAACGGTTTGGTTACTATAGTACAGGTTCTGTCTAGTTTAGGATTAGAGTCGTGTCTGAAATGTGTCAAGTAAACAAAATAGAAGTCACCTTAGTGTTGCGATCAAAAACCACGAATAAGGGAAGAATCCCTTGTTCCTTGAGGTAGTTCCTTACAAGTGTGTAATGAAAAAGGACCTAACTACCTCAAGCACTATGTATATTTATGAAAATTTAAGTAATTTTTGTGAGGAATTGTGATTTATTTGGCCTAGTAGGTAATGTGGTTCTCAAACAAAAAAATTGAAAATTACGTTAACTTGCACAATAGCAAAACTTGCCTTTTGAAGGACATATTGCTTTGAAAATGCTGGCAATAAGTAAGCTAATAGACCTTTTTTTTTTTTTTTTTTTTTAACGTGTGGAAATCCCCTCGGACCGTCACCCCTCCGGGGTTTGCGGCGGGGTGGTGTGTCGGACTCGGACCGACTAAAACCACACGGTGTGCCACTCTGCGCCTGTAACAGGAGGGATCCGGGAACAGCTGCTGTTAAGACATCCGGACCCCTCCTAGCGCCAGCCCGCTCCTGGTGCGGGCTCCGTCTCAATGTGGATGTTCCTCTCTTTAGGCGACGTCCGGCACACGCGGACGCCGCCCCCTCGCGGCTGGCCAACTAATGCGGGTGGAGGGGAAACCCACCCCGTCCACCCGCGGCCACACTCAGGGCGGCATGAGGCTGTGATAGCCGGGCCTCCGCCGCCCGGTTCGCCGGCGGCGGATCGGGTCCCAGTGGAGGTCGTCCTCCCGGGCCCTCTCCGCCGCCTCCTTCCGCGAGATTACTACCTCGCAGAAGGTTGCGACCGCGGTAAAACAACTGTCGCTACCGGCCATGGAGCGTACTACGACCGGTAGCGAGAGATCCACTCCGATGACTGCAGTGAGGGCCCGGCGCTGCGCCGCCCATGCGGGGCAGACCGCCAGCGTGTGCTGGGCCGAATCCTCACTGCAGTCGCAGTGGTGGCAGGCGGGACTCAGTTCCCTCCTAGCGACCGTGTGCAGGTACTTTCCGAAGCAACCATGCCCGGAAAGCACCTGCGTCAGCCGGAAGGAAAGGGTCCCGTGCTGCCGCCCTGCCCACTCGGCGATGACCGGCTGGAGAGCCTCCACGGCGGCGAAGCCAGCGCGTGGAGTCTCCAGCCGGAGCGACCAACGAGCCATTGTGGCTCGGCGAGCGGCTTCGCGCCACTCGCGCACATCCTCGGGCGGAGGGCGAAGTCCGCTCTCCGCCCGGAAGTCAGCCACTCGCCGATAAACTTCGGCGAGCACTTCCGCCTCCAAATCCCACGGGGGAGTTCCGGCCAACGCGCATGCCACCTCCGTAGAAACGGTGCGGTAACCGCGTATGGCTCTGACCGCCATTACCCTCTGAGGGCGCCAGAGGCGTACCCTATTCTGGGCGGTCAGAGCCGCCGCCCACACCGGTGCACCGTACAGCGCCATTGACCGGACAACCCCCGTGTACAGCCGTCTTGTCGCGACGCTGGGTCCACCCATATTGGGCAAGAGTCGCCCTAGGGCAGACGCAGCGCCGACCAGCTTTGGAGCAAGCTGTCGGAAGTGCTCGTCGAAGAGCCACCTCCCGTCGAGGATCAGGCCCAGATATTTCATCTGGGCCCGAACCGGTACGAGGACCGAGTTGACCACGATTGAGGCGCCAGGGGGTGGACCACGACGGGGCCCATGGAATAACAGGGCCTCCGTCTTATCTAGGGCCACCCGTAAGCCCAGCGCCTCAATGCGCCCGACCACCAGGGAGACTCCCCCTGTGGCCAGGCGCGCCGCCTCTTGGAAGTTTGCCCCCCGGGCTGTCACGAGGGTATCGTCTGCGTAACAGATTACACCCAGCCCGGGGGGGAAATCGGCACGAAGGGCCCAGTCGTACCCTATGTTCCACAAGAGGGGTCCAAGAACAGACCCCTGTGGAACACCGCACGACATGGGCCGACACCTCAAATTACCTTCTCGGTCCTCGTACACGACGGTACGCTCCTCTAAATAGTCTGCCACTAGCCGCCTCAGGTACTTTGGCACCCCATGATAGTGGAGTGCTTCCCTGATGCAGCTGAATGGCAGACTATTGAATGCGTTGGCGATGTCTAATGACACCGCCAACAGCACGCCGCCACAGCTCACGGCCTCTTCGGTCACGGCCCTCAGGCGCAACACGGCGTTGACTGTCGAACGCCCCGCCCGAAAACCAAATTGGGCGTCCGACAGATCGGGGCCCACCTCGCAGAGGTGCCGGACGATGCGGGCAGAAAGAACCCTCTCAAACAATTTGCCCGCCTCGTCCAGCAGCACGATGGGCCTATAGGCCGCGACCGAATCGGCTGGCCGTCCCGGCTTCCTCAATAGGACCAGCTTCCCGCTTTTCCAGCACTCAGGGAAGCGTCCCGACGCCAAGCTAGCGTCGAACACCTCCCCGAGGCGGTCTGCCATGTGGTTGAGGGCCAGGGCCAGCACTCGGGCCGGTACCCCGTCTGGCCCAGGGGCGGTGTTCTTGGAACGGATCCGTAGAACAGCCGCCCCTACCTCCGAATCCCGGACGGGCGGAACATTGTCCTCCCCGTGAAGCTAATAGACCTATTCCAATCCCAGGGTTTTAGTCGTTGCGATTCCGCCTTATTGTCTATCCATTCTTTGTCAAAAATGTTAAGTTGGTTTGAAAAAAACATGGTTAAAACTCAAAAAATCCTGCACTGATTGAGCTCAAATTTTGACACTATATAAAACAACCCGCTTCAAAGATTGTTTTTATCTTTTTTCACGTCAGTTTTGTTCCTCATTTCTCATCAATACAAGCAAATGTGCCACAGCAAAACGTACAGCTAGTTCTTCTTCTTTTTAAAAGAAAACTCTCGCATTAGGAATAAATCCTGTGTCTTTGGGGACTTTACAAACATACATGAAACGGATACAAAGAACACACAGACTCAGAGCAATAGTTTGTTGGAACACATAAAGTGTCGTCCCATGTGGGGATCGGACCCACAACACTCAGCGTAGTAGTAAGCGACGTGGCGACCGCTTTAACCACTACGCCATCGGTGCAGTCAGTTGACTATAGATATTGAATTATGTAGTTTAGTTCTCAGTAGCTGCCACCTAATGCTCGTTAACATGTGTAATAAATTCAATGAAGCAGAACTTGTAAGTAGCAGATAGACGCTTTATAAGAAAATCTCATGTATATTCCTTACACATGTATCTTTCTTAATTACTTAAGCAATATCTGCACCATGCCATGTTACACGGAACGGAACGGAATGAGCAATAAAAAACATCGACTTGTTTATGCAAAGAACACGAGGCTTTCGTTCGTTTTTCAGATGATTGGACAAGGCTCTTTCTTTTTTGTCTATCGAGTTTGGCGATTAAAAAATAACGAAGTCACGATTTACCTCTGCCGGCAACATATTATGCGTTTATTTCGATTGTTCGTTTTTTTAAGAAAATGCAATGACCTCGTTGAGGATGATTCTGCTTTTCATAACAAATTTGACTGAGTCATTTTTAAATATCAAAAACATGTTCTATTTTATTCAAAACATTAGTCGATCGAATAGTTAATTTGTTTAGTACTACTGATTACTGCATAACAGATCATTTAAATAATTGCAAATATTTTTTTCTAGTTAATTTGTGATCGATCACTGTTGTATGTTTTACAATATTAAGGTTAACTCTTAAACTCGTTTTGTAACATGCACATTTATTTTTGATTATGTAGAAGGTATAAAAGAATGAAAAGAATGAACTACTTTCCATGTAGTAGCTAGTAGAATAACAGATTAGTGAAATAATAAGAATATCTGTGAGTAACACGTAACACAAATGTGTTTGTACGCAGACCATCCAGTACTGCGCGCACGGCAAGGTGGCGGCCAAGGAGGTGCGCGAGCTGGCGGTGCTGACGCACGGCAAGACGCGCGCCGGCGCCAGCGACGTGTGGCAGCACGAGCTGCTCTACGTGCCGCCGCTGCCGCCCACCAACCTGCGCGGCTGCCATCTCATCTCTGTGCAGTACGATGTCTTTGTGAGTAACCTTCAGCGTTGCTTCTCTATACGCGACGTGTGGCTGGAGTCTTATATCCTCTAGTTGGTCAATCATCGATCGTGTTCAATGTTCCACCATAAACCCGTGTCATCGATTCGGTTGCTGATCTCACTCCTTACAGAAAACTGACACTTGCATAATCTTTAAAATTATTATTATTACAAATAGAGAATTAATTTTAACTCAGTACTGTAAATTGTTGTCCCCAGTTCATAATCGAGCCAAAGAGCTTAGAAAAAGAAATAAAACTTCAACTTCCGATTCTGGTCGGTACGTATCCGTTCCGTGAAGAGGGCGAGGAGCCGCAGGCGCCTACGCATTATCCCAGCACGCTGCCTATCTTCAGACCCTGGTTGCACGACAAGCCTGGACATTGACGCGAACGGCGGTAGGAGTACTATCTGAGGATCACGAAACTGTCTCATTAACATTAATCTATAAAAATTATTATAGCCGTAAAAATGCACACGTGGCTATTTAGACAGAACCGGAGAATTTTGTTATAACTTTTCCAATCGCGCGTAAGACAGGGAAAGATAGAGAATTATCTCGATGTCTCGTTCGAACACATTTATTTCTATTAGGTAGCTAGTTTCGGCTGTTTTGTTTATAGTTATTTTTTTATATAGAGGAGTTATCCGCGATGAACTTCGATAAAATCGATCAGCAGATTTGACGTTAATAACATGTGTAAAAAAAAAGTAAAAATCAGGGTCTACCACGTTTTAATAAATTAAAACCTGAGAATTACTTATGAAGTATCTCAGTGTTTATTCTACATTAATTTAATGTTATAAATGTATCAAAAAATTGTGCAATTTTATAAATTTTTACTGACAGTAGGTATCTGAGACTGGGTCACAAACATTCGGACAGGTGGCTGACCACCAGTTCTTAGTGACCGATACCGGTTAGTCTGAATTCCCTCTCATTTGTACGCAGCGCAGTGCTGTATTTTTTACATTGATTGCGAGTTAGATAGAAGTGAGACATACGATTTTAATCACAAATTATTGCTATATTATTAATATCCATATAGGGATAAAAAATATTTTTAAATTGTATATTTTTTATTAATTGTCTTGTTTTCGTGTTCTGTCTGTGTATAAATCAGGTTGCCAAATACACAACTGTATAATTTGGATACTTTGAAGTTTATAGAGTATTACTTTTTTTTTATAAGTGTATTTAAGTAAATATTGAATCTAGACTATAAAATCTCATGTACATTGTATGTAATTTGTGTAATTTTTTATGTAATTTATTTTGTATTTGGCCTCGAAGTCCGAAAATCTAATTATGTAAGTGGGAATTTTTACATTCCAAAAGCATTTTTTTTTAATATTTCTAATGTACTTACTCGTAAATTAACACACATTATAACTAAATATTTAATCAATTGTATTATAAAAAATATATTCCAAATTATTCACTGCCGTAGCTGTAGAATCGATTGACAATAAATTTTACTAAAATTAAAATTGTAGATACTATGATGATTACAAAAAGAAAAAATAGGTTAGGGCTTTTTAAACGGTAAACGGACTGTCGACCATCTAACTGGTTTACACTATCTTATTCGTATAAATGTGGTCTTAGTACATTATAAAAAGTTAGCATTCTCAGGAAAAACATCGAAATTATTTTGTAGAAATAAACACATAAAAACACACCGCATAACATGTTACGTATACTATCACGTAGCGTGGCGACGCATGCCGTGGGTCGCCACAGCATGCGTCGCCACGCCACGTGATAGTACACGTGTCGACTATTACTACTAGATATTTCTCATCAAAACAGAAAAATGCCTACCTACCTACCTACCTAAAATATGGACCTACACTTAGATGACAATGACACTGTCATAGTGAATAAGATCCAAAGTAGAATAGGTATCTTTATTACTGTAATTGTATAAATTTTGTATTAACCTAACCGTTTCATCTACGTATATGATCACTGCTCCGCTTCTAAGGATCGTAGCATGATAGTACATATCCTATAACCATTAAAATTGAGATTAGCGTGGCCAAACAAAAAAGTCTTTATCCTTATTATATTAGTATAGAATCTAGTGCCATTTAATGTGTGTAACTTCGAATATAATTAAATTTACGAATGTACTTGTGACACATTTACTTTCTATTGTAAGAGAAGGGTAACAAATGTATACGTACTAATGGAAATGTATATAACTAACCTGTGATATACCGATCCGTCCATTTTAATGTAAAAATATAAACATTTACTTATTATAACATGGCTTTTATTTCCTAGACATAATACTTCCCTAATTGACAGTGTTCAGCCTAAACTAATGATATATGAAACAACTAAAATATATATACTTACCGTGACGACATTTTGTTCTTTTAATAAAGCAACAAAGTAAGTAGTAGTAGTAAGCACATAGCACAATTAAAAAAAAATCTTATGCACGACTGCCTAGGTGGTGTTGTCGTAGCGTATGCGACTGCTGTACTGAAGTTTCGGGTCGGACCAATTGTTTGTATGATCTGCAAGTATTTGTTTCGGAGTTTGGGTGTTTTCCATGTATTATTTGTATGTATAAAAAAAACTATATAAGTATTCTATCAGTCAATCTATTCATAGAACAAGATCTGCTTAGATTGAAACTAGATGGCGTGGTGTCAGATGTCCGAAATATTATTACTATGTATCTGTCAGTAATGAAATAATGTTTACAGGAGAATCCAAAGTTTTGAAGGTGTTTTTTCTTCAGTTTCTCAGCCGAAAGACGTCCACTGAGACCTCTCTTTTCTTTTTGTCTGTGCGGCAATCCCTTCGGATACCACCCACCGGTGGTTGTCGGACATGAACCGACCAAAAACCGCACGCCATCTCCGGTACCAGTAGCCGGGGAACGAGGGGTACCCTAGGAATAAAATTCCTGGAACCCCGACATAGATTAGACATATACCCCCTTTTTTTTTTTTCCCGTGCGGAAATCCCCTCGGATACCACCTGTCGGTGGCATGTCGGACTCGAACCGACTAAAACCGCACGCCGTCTCGGGTACTAATAGCCGGGGAACCAGGTATACCCTAGAAAGGAAGTCCCTGGTGCAGACATATACCCCTGATTAAGAGTCCAAATACAAAATGACAAGTCTCTAGCGATGTGAAATGATAGTTCCGACGGATATTAATTAATGCTGCGTGATCAATAAAACAGTAACCTCGTTGCATAGATTTTGCATTTTTCTGTGTCGAACCAAAGTGCAGGAGACGCGTGTCTCTGTAGAAGGCTCTTGAAAAAATTGCTATATCGTACATCAATGCAATCATCTTTTGTTTCCTTGTTTTTGCTAGGTCGATTTAAGTAGTTTTTAGGTTGAAATAAAACAATAATAATAATATTCAAAATTGTGTATTGACAAACACACTGCACTGAAATTGAGAAGTATTTCTTACAATTAACCCCAGAATGTCCCAAATTAATTTTACAAATCATCGGTACGATGTACAAACCCATAATTTAACAAAACGTTACAAACAACTACATGTTCACTAGCCGATGCGTATTACACTTTATACAAATATCACATTTTCAATTATTTCATATTTTATTCAATTCAACTTGCCTAAAACATTTCTTCAGTATCAGGATCGATCAATTACATCATAATGTATTATTAAGGATGTTTAAAAGAACTCTTGTCTTAGATTATATACTTGTAGATATACCCAAGTAGGTATCTCATAAACAAATAACCTAAAATACTGCATTCTCCTATGGTAAATTAAAAACAAAAAATAAAAAGCTTAACTCATTGGGGCGTCTATATTCGGGGCGTGTAGAATATTTTTTTTAAATATATTAGTTACATAAAAAAAAAAGAAAAAACTACAAAACATAAATATAAAAAAACCTTTTTTTACTACTAACCCTTTTTTTACAAAAACGAAGGTCGTAACCCCTCAAAAAAAGATTAAAATAAATAATAGTATCTTTTTATACCACAAGATAATGCACTCGTATACTTTAGGTGTCGTATTCGGGCATAGGGCGTGTTCAGGTGTATGTAACATAACATAACATGACACATTAACCATGAAATAATTATTCGAAAACAACTGTATATAATACCTACGCCGTCAATGTCAATGCCGTCGATTCCATGTATCGATAATAAACCCATGTACTTTAGCTAAAGGCACTGTTTTGTTCATCTACAGGTATATAATCTGTGTAGGGTTAATTTTATTCGTTTTAGTTATGTATACTTTATTTAGGGATCGCCGCACTTTAAATTATCCTCCATTCCAATTTTAAAGCTTATTATTTTATTTTAAACAGCGTTATATAGAGGTTCAATACTTTTTTTTAACCATGTATTTTTTAGCTTTTTTTTTCTGATCAACCTGTTTACTAAAAAAAAAAGTCAAATTATTTATTAAAGATTATTATGTGTAAAAGTAAACTTTATTATGTGTATACTTATTATAACACAGACAACAATAACAAAATACAGTTATCAGCATACGGCATTATTATTAATATACAAAGTGGATGGAATTTAATCATAAATTGTCCTAATATATTTCTCAACCAATGTCGTGAAGAGTTTTGGCTACAATATGACTAAACCATTAAAATTCTATCAAGGATTGAAGGAGATTTCACAAATTTAGATAATTAGCTCCCTTTCATAAGTACTTTTTAAGAGGAACTTATTTTTTGCAAGTTATTTGTCTGTATTGTAGTAGTTTGTTGTATTCTATGGTGTTATAGTGTGCGACAATCCCAACTTAAGAAGCTCAAATCGTATTAATGAAGATGGCTAGAACGAACAAAATACAGATACAGTTCTTCACAATATCGATAAATACTTTGAATGCAATCTTTAGTTACCGATTGTAAAAAAGTATATTACTTAACGTAAGCATTAAATCGATACATAGACAAATCTGTTCTGCATTAAAACATTGTTGATAACCTCTTCTCTTCTCTGTTAAGCAATTGACGAATAGTACTTATAAATAAAATGTTAATAGTGCACAGAACCAATTAGTTGTATTAAAAAAACAATATTTGACGAACAATACTTAATATATTTCGTGTGTGTTTTACGTTGAATGTTATGTAGGTAACGTAATTTTAATAAGAGATTATGTCGAGTTTATATATATATATATATATTTGTTTCAACTGTCAAAAGTGACTCATATCGTGCGCTTTGATCATAAACTCCTACCAAAATTATTCACATAATTGTATGTTTGTTACATACTAAAACAGAGTTTTAGATGAAAATTTGTATAAGGACACTTATAAACTGTTGCCCTCTTTTGTAAGGGGCAAATCAGACTCAGCGGCTAAAGGATTACTTATATAAACTGTTTTTGGTTGAAATAGAGCAGAGACTCATAAGCCGCAGTCCTCTGGAATAGACTATACTACTTGCTATGTTTATTTGAGCTCTATTTTAATGGAACATGGTTTATATTTTATTCACAAGTAGAAAGTGTACGCGTCTGAGTCTGAGTTGATGTTAACGGAGACTGGATAAGATATTACTTATTCGCGTTCTTGTGATAATAGATAATCTTAAGGAATTAGACTGATTAAGACTGACGAACATCAATTGGACCCTATTGTGTAGAAATGATCAATTAACCGTATTCAAATGGGGAGAAAAATATTTACATAGTTGAGAACAATTAAGGACATTACAATAAACTATTAAAACTAATTAGTTTCTACAATGTTTTACGGGTTAGATTATTATTATTATATACATATTGGATAAGTTCTCAACACGGTCCAATTAAGAGTTTTGAGCTATTTATTTTTATTGCTTTCGATAATGCTTTAGAGGCTTGATATTTCAGAACGTTTCGCATATAATACAGATATTGTAGTAAAACACAGATTTTATCACATTTGACTTTTTTTTTTAAATTAATGACATATTTTATTTCGCCATGTTTTAATAAAATATGGATTGCAATATTGTAATTATTGCAATTTTAATTGCAATGTTGACAGAGTGTGTCTCTGTATGTGTGTGGTTAGATTAAGAAATAATAAAGAAAAATAAATGGGATGGGTCTCAATTTAGTACAGGGTTACTAGGATCAATTTTTATTTAGGAAGTAAATATATTGAAGAAACAAATAATATAAATCTCCGTGATAAACTTATACTGTTAAGGGTTATTTGGATAAATAAATATTTATTATTATTACTCGTACTATGCATGTTGATCGGTTTGAAGTTAGCGGTGGTCGGTATCGTAACAACCTTCGTGTTGAAAAAGTAATGAGAAGAGACGGTCGGGGTAGTCGAATCGAATAATTCAAGAAAATCCTACAGAATTAAATGGATTAATTTTCATGAGTAGGTAAGTACACTTTAGTTAATATATATCAGTTTTTAAAATCCATACGGTTTTTAATGGACATATACGTTTCCATGAACAGAAGGATCCTCTAAAGCTGAGACGTCGGCTTTCGAAGAGTGGCTTAAAATATTTGGGCTTTAAAAAACATTTACCGGAAAGAGCACCGTAACGCGGTCACGTGATGCGGAAAGCGGTGACGTCACACCGCTCACGTCGTAACGATAGTTTACATTTTTTCACTTTATCGTTGGTTTACACACTCGTACAACGTCACTCGCGGCACGGTGGTACATAGGGGCGGACACTACGAAGAGATGAAAAATCATTTCGAACGGGGACGATAGGCAGAGGTGAGAGGAGGCCCGGCTAGGCCATCTTGTTGGCGAGCGCGCGGTGCAGGGCGGCGAGCTGCGCCGTCCACTTGTCCAGCGCCGAGTAGCGCGCCGCGCCCCGCGCGCTGCCCACCAGCTCCAGCACCGAGTTCACCTGGTCGATGCGCCCGCTGATCGTGCTGGGGGGGAGCACATTTACACTACAGTAGACTGATACTACGGCCGCACTAAAAACTGGTGTTAAGTAATTCTTTCATTGCATTTTACCGATTGAAATGGGCCTAAACCCTCTCCCCCTTAATTCTGAGAGGAAGGCACTCAAAGGCCGGCAACGCCCTTGTGAGTCTTGGGTTGCAAGTGTCCACGGACGACGGTAGTCACGTACCCGGTTATCAGGTGACCCGTCTGCTCGTTTACCCCTATACCATAAATAATATACAATAAAATAACATAAAAACACTCCTATTAAATAATTGTTTAAATCTTTTAAATAATTTAGGGAAACCAATTTATTGCATCACTGTACAATAACGTCATCAATTGGAACACGGCAGCCTATACAGTCCCTGTGCTTCACCCAGGTGGAGGACCTAGGTGAAGCATGGGTCCGCCCCATATTGTAATAATTATAATTGACAGTTAATAGGGATGCATGCATAAAAAAAATTATAGTATAGAAATTCATACTCACTTATCTAAAATGCATGTAACCAATAGATTCTCGACTTCCTTTTCATCGATATTTAGCTCCTTAGAAATAAATGGTATGTGGATCCTAGTGTACGGGCCGATCAGTTTGATAAGCACTTGAGTCCTAATATTCCTTAGCAAGTCTTCTATATGTTCTCTGATGAAGGGATCATCCATTATATTGTTCCTATTGTGTTTGAGTATTGACTCAAAGTCGTTTATATCATTATTTTGGTATGCCATTACAAGGTTTGTCATGGCTAAAATCTCAGGGTCGTTTTTATAAGGTTTGGCTTCTTGCGAATCAAATGGGTTGATGCCAGATTTCATGAGCCTGAAATGGGAAAAAATTGTATTTTAAACAAAACATGATAAATAGAGAGAGAACAGGAGATTACTGTCAAGTCAAATCAGGATCAGTAGGTAGTATGTAAATCTAATACGCGGTCATACCTAGCTTTTGTCAAATCATTTACTTTTTAAATGTTGATTCGAAGATATAAAAAAAAAGTGTGTGTGTCAGCTCCGACGCACGACTGGAGTTTACTCCTTAAGAACGGTTCATACAAGTACAAAGTATACAAGTTGTACACACTTGAGAGAGAAAGAGACACAAAGAAAACTCGTACAGACAGAAATATAAACGTTATCATACATTAAGTTATATGTAAGACGACCCTTTTCAGTGTGGTGACGGATTAAGAATACAGAGTGTCACCACCCCTATTCATCCCGTGGGTGTCGTAAGAGCCGACTAAGGGAAAAAAATACGCAGAACAACAGCACTGCAGAGAGAAGGAAAACTTACACACAAACAACAGACACAAACCCTTTTTTTTTTTTTTTTTTTTTTTTTTTTTTTAACGTGTGGAAATCCCCTCGGACCGTCACCCCTCCGGGGTTTGCGGCGGGGTGGTGTGTCGGACTCGGACCGACTAAAACCACACGGTGTGCCACTCTGCGCCTGTAACAGGAGGGATCCGGGAACAGCTGTTGTTAAGACATCCGGACCCATCCTAGCGCCAGCCCGCTCCTGGTGCGGGCTCCGTCTCAATGTGGATGTTCCTCTCTTTAGGCGACGTCCGGCACACGCGGACGCCGCCCCCTCGCGGCTGGCCAACTAATGCGGGTGGAGGGGAAACCCACCCCGTCCACCCGCGGCCACACTCAGGGCGGCAAGAGGCTGTGATAGGCGGGCCTCCGCCGCCCGGTTCGCCGGCGGCGGATCGGGTCCGAGTGGAGGTCGTCCTCCCGGGCCCTCTCCGCCGCCTCCTTCCGCGAGATTACTACCTCGCAGAAGGTTGCGACCGCGGTAAAACAACTGTCGCTACCGGCCATGGAGCGTACTACGGCCGGTAGCGAGAGATCCACTCCGATGACTGCAGCGAGGGCCCGGCGCTGCGCCGCCCATGCGGGGCAGACCGCCAGCGTGTGCTGGGCCGAGTCCTCACTGCAGTCGCAGTGGTGGCAGGCGGGACTCAGTTCCCTCCTAGCGACCGTGTGCAGGTACTTTCCGAAGCAACCGTGCCCGGAAAGCACCTGCGTCAGTCGGAAGGAAAGGGTCCCGTGCTGCCGCCCTGCCCACTCGGCGATGACCGGCTGTTCCGGCCAACGCGCATGCCACCTCCGTAGAAACGGTGCGGTAACCGCGTATGGCTCTGACCGCCATTACCCTCTGAGGGCGCCAGAGGCGTACCCTATTCTGGGCGGTCAAAGCCGCCGCCCACACCGGTGCACCGTACAGCGCCATTGACCGGACAACCCCCGTGTACAGCCGTCTTGTCGCGACGCTGGGTCCACCCATATTGGGCAAGAGTCGCCCTAGGGCAGACGCAGCGCCGACCAGCTTTGGAGCAAGCTGTCGGAAGTGCTCGTCGAAGAGTCACCTCCCGAACAGACACAAACCCTATACCAACCCGTCTGGCCAGCGTGGTATAGTAAGCCAAAACCTCCTTTCTAAGGAGAGGCTTATGTCCAGCAGTGGACTATTAAAGGCTGTTGATGAAGACGACCCTTTGCCAACCCGCCTGGCCAGCTGACAAAATAATTTCTGTCTCGAAAAAATATGTGAAAACTTGAAAGCTGAGTAAAGATTTTGATCGGTCATAGTATAACATCATAAGTATAGTTCAGTGTTCCGCTCCAGATGCAACCCTCACGATCCTCAGCCACGAGGGACCGACCAAAAAGAGAGAGATAGATTTTTAGTACCTTTATAGAGAAGTTGCAAAAACATAACATTAAAAATCTTAAAGTGAACTCACATATTCGCTAACACTAAATACTTCAAGCAGGTGGTCCTACGCGGACTGCCAGACTCGTCGTAGTTCTTGAATGCTTCGAAGAAGTCCGTGTGCGCCTTTTCGAACTCTCCTTCGCGCAGGTGCATCTTGCCACCGCACTCTACATCATAGATCAATCAATCATATTCTATAACTTATAAAACCATTACAGTAAAACTAATCCATTGTTCCATATTTCAGATAAATGTTCGAGAATTGCGAATGTTCCAAGATGTTCTAGAAGTTGACAGATCGCGATGGGATAAATCGGGATGCGGTGTAGTGACATTTTAGTTTTGCGAGTGTCTTGATATGACTAGTCCAAATACTTCGTATATTGATCGGACCACGTTATACATTATGGTAAATTAAATAAAAATTAAAGATAAATTAAATTTAAATTAAAGATTATATTACAACAAAAAATATACTACAGTGTTAAGGAATACTTAGAAGACAAACATCTAATATAAACATTATGCTTTTCTTTTTTAAATTCTATTTACTACAATTTAGTTAAATTTGACTCATGATCTACTATTTAATTGACATAATAATTATTGTAATTTATTTTGACACAAATTTTGACTTTTTTTTTTATGTAACTTTTATATAGACGTGACTCATGAATTATGTCTAGATTATGTTTGAAATATTTTAGTGAAATTGTAATATAAACAAAAGTATATTGAAATATTTGCATGCCACAAGGTGGAATGTGAAGGAACGAAAATTACCTTTGTAACAACTTTACTATTGTACCCAAATTCGCAAACAAATGTTTATTATTATATTATATTGATGTTTAACACACACAATATGTAAACATAGATAGCAATAAAAAAGTACAATAAAGATAAACAAGTATGTTTAGGATAGCGATACTTCTAAATAATTTAAATTGTGTAAGATAAACTAAAGTGCATGAGAAGTGTAATGACCCCTGGTGGGGTGTCAAACTAGTCGGCCATCCCTGATAATTACTAACAAAAACCAACATGTTTAATATTATCAGATTTTTTAATGTAGTATGTAATTACGTTTTTACTTTTTTTTTGTGTTCACAGTTCCCCACAGTTTACCACTTCAGTGGTATTTCGGAATCGAACTGACTAAAACCACATAAGTTTATTGCAAGAGCCTCGGCTGGCTAACCCAGGCTGACCTTAGCCACCACAGGCAGCCATAATATAGAGCGCCTTGTCTCCTTCCGGTTTCTGTAAACCGGAACACGTCACAGTACCGTCTCAGGCCTGCTTCAGGCCAGCCTCACCGTAACCCCCCCAGCCAGCGAATTACTTTGCTATTGTGCGCTAGCATTGATATTGATTATTGTGTTTATGTATACATATATTTACATTACCTCTAATGACACCCATAATAAGTGGATGTGGTATAGCAGACTTGATGTGCAGCGACTGTTCGTACAATGCCTTTAATTTCTTATTATTCTTTTGGGCTGTGTACATCTGGATCTCGAGTGCATATATCTCTAGAAGTTGTGTACCTTTCTTCAAGTCATCCTCTCCTTCATCCGTCTACAACATATAACATTCACTTTTAATTTTTGAATGTGGTGACTGCATCCATTGGTGGCTAGTACAAATCCGGCTCGAAGGACCAAGTAGAAAAGTAATTTATTAATTTAACCAAGGAAATAATCGACAATGGAGCGATGGCAGTTAATCGTGTACTAAACGTATTGTAATAAATAATTAATTAGCTACTACTATTTTTTCTGCAATATCGCTCATTGTACATAAACTGTGCTGATAAATCAGTGGTTATGAAATCAATTTCTATTGTGGAATTTTAAATTAAATCAGTCAACACGCAATAGACCATCATAATCTAATCGTTATATTATTGCCGTTCGTATCTCTATAGGTCTGGTAATCAAGCACATAGCCGATTCTAAATAATGAAAGGTTCCTTTGACGATCAAAATACTGAAACTCTAAAATGTTAGATGTCAATACTAATTGATTCTCAATATCTAAGTATTCGCTAATTAGCTCAGAATCGTAAGTAGTAATAAGTTAATACAATTATTACTTGACAGCTCTGATGTAATTGTTTCAAAATTTTTGCCAGTTTGTTGAAGTCTCCCCTATCATAATATAATTTCCCAAGTTTTGTGTTTGTCTTGAACCATAGCCTGTCGTTCTTGGCGTCTTTCAGTGCTTCCAACGTGGTTTCATAGAAGTCTTGTAATAATTCCATCTAGAAAAAAAATACGTTTTAATGTAAATACGAACAACGAATCTCCTAAGATTATAATACGTATTAGACATGTTGTGATTAGCCCGCACTATTTTTCCAATATATATAATTTAATAAGATTGTCACTAATCACAACCGTGACGATTGAGTCAGTGTGAAATAAACTAAGACCAGGCCCTTAGCACTTCAAATCAAAATGTAGTACTCACATTTCTCGAAGTAGAAATATAATCAAGAATTGAGTTGATTGACTTCTCTGAATGGTTCCTTGTGACTGCACTTTTGATATACGTCAACAGCTGCTTGTATCTAGACATCATCTCTGGGAAATTGCCCTGAAATGTAAAAAATTATGCTTAAAGGGGTAGTGGATACTTAAATTTCCATTTAATTGTAGTTGCAACTGTGCTAGTAATGTGCTGTAATGTGACATGCGATAGAACACTTATTCATCCCGTGGGTGTAAGAGCCGAATAAGGAAACAAACAACGCATGATAACAGCACTGCAAAGAGAAGGAAAATTTGAAACAAACCCTTTACCAACTCGTCTGGCCAGCGTGGGCCAAAACCTCGTTTCTAAGAAGAGGACTATGTCCAGCAGTGGCCTAACAATGGCTGATGATGATGATAACAGTTATTGTAATCATTTTGATACTACTTATACATTACATGCAGTAAAAAGAAAAATTTTTCTACAGTATATTCCAAATTCTATTTAATGTAAATAATAAACAGACACAGTCAAAGTAAGTAGCAATTATGTAGGATAAGAATAGGAATCCCTATAATATTTGTTACAAAAATCATTCCAATGATGTGAAATAATAAAAAGTTGTGTTTAGTACTTATTAAGAATTTATTTTTTATTTACTTATATCGGGTTTAATTATAACGGTTTTACCAATAACAATAATTAAAGACATATATACATCAACACAAATGAAAACAAAGATAAAATAGCAGTATGGATGACTTAGATTGTGCCACAAATTTCCTGGTTTGTGTTTATAATTCTGTTTCACAAAATAAAAAACCAAGACTATGTCTTAGTAAATTTCAGGTTTAGTCTATGACTAGGTAACTTTTGCTATGTAGATATCTCAATTCACATAACCTCCAGTAAGCCAAACTGGTATTGAGCACCAGTAAATAGTTAATTCTTTATTAAGAAATCTAGCAACGGAAGTGTATTACTTGGTATTCATAAAAATATTTGTAAAAAGTTGCATATTAGAAACCTGTTTAAAAAAATAACCCAGGTACTTAACAGCAGCGTTAAAAAAATAAATTTACCTACCAATTTAAAATTAATTTTTATCATCTGTTTGAGTGCCTTAAAACCCCACTCGCCTTTGTCGCCACCTTCGAGTTCTAGCACTTTTTGAAAGCTAATCAAAGCAGCTTGAGGCTCATCTTCTTTCAGGGCCTTACTATTGTAGTACTGATTCTCTAAATCCACATCCGGCTCAGAGTTACTGTCTTCTGAGTACTCCTATAAATAAATATGCCATTACAAGATTTACTGAACCTAGTGAGTGTAACAATTCGACAAAAAGGAAATTGCAAATGAGGTTATATATATATATTTTTTACCATGTTTTCTTTAAGTAAGCTATTAAAACTACGTAAAAAGATCACATTCAAGACAAACTAAGACAACAGAACGTTGTGTGATCAGCAGGAGAAAACTAAAATCGGTAAAATGTCAAGAACAATATTGTCAAATATGATGCTCAAACAATTTACTTACTAAACCATAATCCTCTTCTTCCTCGCACATATAATCATCATCATTGTCAGACATTTCGATTAAGTTTCTTAATTATTTGTACATAAAATTACTATCCACAATATTTATTAAATTCCAATTTGCCCGAAATGACACTGACATAATATCGGCAATCATTCAATTGACAACAGAAAATCCTGACAACGCCATGACAGCAGTGTTGCCAACAGTTAAATTTGCAATTTCATTTTTGTTACAACATATTCCTTCCAACCTCAAACCTCATGGAATTCTTATTACTACTCACATAGCAGAGAAAAGATTTAATTTCCGACCCAATATTGATAATTTTTATTTTTATCCAGTGCCTTCATGATAGTAGGTCGTAGAATGATAGTTACCATCCTGAAATTTTAGGAAATTATAAGCTACATTATTGACTTCGCTCTCGATTCCGCGATCTTAGCTCTCACTGGCATAAAGCCTATATCATCCTATTGCCTAAAATTAATAATCCTTCTCTTCCTAAGCACTTCTGTCCCATCTCCTAAAGGCCGCAACGCGTTGGTGACTCCTAAGCTGCAGACGTTCATGGGCGGCGATTGCCACTTTCCATCAGGTGACCCGTCTGCTCGTCTGCCGCCTCTAATATGAGAAAATAAACATTGTTCCTTTCTTATCAAAAGCTCTTGAGGTTTGCGTACACAAACAGTTCTCACAATCTACTTTCCTTACTCCTAAGTCATTTACAATTTTACCACTAGAAAATCCACTAGGCCACTAAAAGCAAAATTTCTCCACTAACGGTCGGTCAAAACCACCAGTTTTAGTGGACAATCCACTAGGTTGGCAACACTGCATGACAGAGAGACGGCACCAGCAAAAATTATTAGTCTATGGTTTTAAATTCGTAATTTCATATTATTTCGTTCAAAGTAAATTGCTTGTAACTACTGGGCACGTTTATGTTGCATAAACTGAATAAAATCAAGAATCCGTTGTATTAACAAGTTTCGTCTTCTGTTTCAGGATTTAATAAAACTTAAAACTGGATTTACTTCTGAATTGTATTGTAATTTTATAAAATGTCAGGAGTAGAAGTGAGTCAGCAACAGACAATCCATCCCATACGTACATTAATTTAAAAATCCTTTTAAGACAAAGTTGAAAAAAACACTAAAAATTAAATTATAGATGAATAGGCCAAAAAAAAACTCACTTCTCCAATGAGAAAGTGAGTTTTCGTAAGAAACAAAAATATCAGCGATGTATGCGATGTTTAGATTTTAATAATTTTTCAAAAGAAAAAATGGTGTAAAATTTAAATGGGAGTTACCTGGAAAGTATACCCTTTGAAACAAAAAAAGAACTTTCCAAATCAGTTCAGGCATCTTGGAGAGTAATCTGTTTCGACGAATTGAGAACCTCCTCCTTTTTTGAAGTCGGTTAAAAAGAACAGACGAGAAATATTATAGTTCAGTACGTTTAATTTTACTTGGATTTTTTAAATTTTACTTACTTTGGATAACTAAGGGCCTTAAACTGAGTTGTAAAACAAAAAGGAACTTGAGATTTAGATACTACAAAAATAATACATCTGATAATAAGACATTATTCAAAAAATACTCAAATATACTCAAAAAATTTATAAATAACTTGCAGTCTTTTAATCATAAAGCAACATGGGATGTCGTAAAACGTAGTATGGGTAATGAATCTTTGAAGCTATACGAGTATATGAATCAGATAATAATCGATAACAATATTACAATTACATCTGGTTCTGTCATTGCTCACATGTTTAATATCTTTTTTACTGACATTGTACAAAATAACAAAAATTCAATAAAAGGTTATAATCAAAGTAACTATAATATAAAAGCAAATAATAACAGTGTATTTCTTAAGCCCACAAATGCAATTGCAATATAAAATATAAAAAAAGCCGTGTGGTGTCGTGGGACACCCGATAGGAACGAAGTTGTTACGATCGAGTAAAACTGATTAGACACGATTTTAATTACAACGCCATCTATGAAAGCGGCTATTAACTACATATTTTTCAGTTGGTTTCTAATTAAAACAATTTATACATTGGTAAAATCTCCTTGAGAAATGATGTCGAATACAATATTTTTTGCTCAACCTAAGAACATAAATTTTATTTTTACTATTCGATAGATGGCGCTGAATGACTGACAAGTGACAATTCAAAATAAAAAGTGTCGTGACCAATTTTCGTAAGAATTTTTTCCGTCTAGCCCCCTTTCACAACGCGCGATAAGGAACTTCGTTCCAATAAAATCTTCAAAAAAAATAGTAAATCAGCAGGCACGACAATCTCACTGCAGAACTTAAATAACTTATATCACAATACATAGCACAACCATTAGCCTATTATCAATTTATCACTTGAGGCTGCTTTCCAGACAGTTTGAAACTTTCCGTAATAAAACCGTTGCCTTTTAAAGGGCCAGAAAACAGAAAAAGACAGTTCTATTGCGTTAACACCTGTATTATCAAAAGTTTTTAAGAAAGTGATAAATAAGACGATTATGTTTTTTTGAAATAAATATCACGTATTAAGTACGTCATATTTATTTAAAAACTTATTTAAACAGCTTACACTTCGGACACAGCTGCACTTCTGCACTTCACTTAGCTGCACAGCAATTCGGATTTAGGAGAAGGCGATCAACTCATCATGCTACAGACAGTCAAGTTAGGTCAATAATAAATAATACTAACAATAAAGTTCAATTTAAGCAAAGCGTTTGACTTTGTAAACCATAGCATACTTATTGACAAGTTGGAAAAATATGGTTATACGAGGTGTCGCGCTAAAATGGTTTGAACCGTTTTTGAGTAACAGAAGACAAATCACACGAATAACCAAGTTAATAAAACATATAACTTAGAATACTTTGATTCAGAGCCTAGATACAATTATCATGGAGTGTCCTAGGTCCCTTGTTATTTATAATTTACATTAATGATTTCCACCAGGCCATACAACGTCATGACTGTGTTTTGTTTGCGGATGATACAACAGTAATTACAGAATGTGATAATAATATTACTAACTGTGAAAATAAAATAAACAATGTACTAAAAGATATGACTAAATGGCTAAGCATGAACGAATTAAAAATAAATATAGACAAAACCATACTTTTTCAGTTTAGATCTGTTCAAGATAAGCAAAAACAGTTAATTATTCAATGTTATAACCAAACAGTCGAACAAATATACATAGCACAACAGTTGACGAACACCTTAAATGCAAGCAAAAGTATGAGTCTGCAAAAAAGTTCGCTTTAAAAACGGTTAAAGACGGGGCTTGTAAGCAATCTTCATTATTAGTATACCATGCATATGTGTGCTCTATAATTCGATATGGCGTACTAGTTTGGGGCTACTCATCAGAAATGAACCGTGTTTTCATAGCTCAAAAGAAATGTCTTTAGGTAATATTCAATATGCAGTAGTCGGAGTTCTGTAGGTCGATACTTAAATCAGAAAGGATTTTAACGGTCCCTAGCATGTACGAGTATATCTTCGAAGTGGCGAAATTCGTTAAGTGTAACCATGTAAGAATTGTTTGAAGCTAATGATAACATAAATAAGCGTAAAATTAACCAAAGCTATTTCAAATTGCCTTTACCTCGTTTAGAGATGGTCAGAGCAATTTGTGTGTACTTATTTACAGCATTATGTGAAAAAATTGTAAAATTAGCATACCATAAATTTGGGTTGAACTAAAAAAAAATTCGTCTTTTCATTTAGAAATGCATTGTGTTAATTAACAACTACAAACTCAAAAAATGTATCTCGTTGCTTATGTTTTATTATTTAACCTTCCTTTTAAATATTTGCATGCTTTAATGGCGAAATGTGTCCTGTTCTCATTATTTAATTTACTCAACAACTTTTGTACTACATTTCATGCAAATATACTTATTATTAATATTCTCTTTATTAAATTATTTTATTTATTTTTAATTATACATATTGATTAAATTTTTAAATAAATTACAAAGAAAAAAAATACATTTGAAAATATAAAAAATAGTAGACCACCGACATCGGGTACAGGTACCAAGATACAAGATACTGATTGATTCCCCAGGACGCTGGAATGCCCGACAGATGTCAACGGTACCATCTTTCAGGATATATTTCCGATAGTTATTCGTCATGATAACTTCGTCCATAATCGTACAAACAAAACCATCAGTTTCTGCGAAGAGATCACCATACCGTAGCCAAGTCGTAGATGCTTTTAAGTCTATATCGGACCCATTTAGGGCCCGATAAAACCGACCATGGAGCTCTTTGCCCTTCCATACTTCCCTGCGATCATTAGTACTAAGTACTACAGGTTTGCGCCAATTGTCTTCAGCCAGAGCGAGCGGGGTGAATCCAGTATCCACTGCAACTACACTGCGATGCTCTCCTACATCAGTATGTGGAAAATATTCTCTGAGATTGCAGTCAGCAGTGTACGGTGTACTCTCCTGTCAAGGGCATCTGACCCATCTAAGTATACCAAAGGAGTACATCAGAATCGGCATGACCCAACCATTGCAGGCTCGCACCTTGTTGCCCCCCGATAAAAGACTTTTCAGTACTTTTTTCAAGCGGCCAAAAAAGCGTTCCTGCAACGTTTGTTTCATGTCAGATTCTGGTATGCCTAACGACTGTGATATACCCAAATACTTGTAAGTTTCAGTGGCAGACAGAGATCTGAGTTTTGTTGAATCGGAAAGCTCTATTCCTTCAGATTCTACTATCTCACCCTTCTTTACATACATGACTGCACACTTATCTACACCAAATTCCATTTTGATAGAATTACTAAAGATTTCCGTCACCTTTAATAATGCTGTCAATTGTAATTTAGTTGGGGCTAGTAATTTCAAATCATCCTTATAAAGAAGGTGAGATATAACTTGATCATTTTTCTGCAACCTATAGCCTAACCCTGAACCCTCTAATAAAGTGCTAAGAGGGTTCAAAGCCAGACAAAACTACAAGGGAGCCCCCCGCTCGATCTTTATTGGTGCATCGTTTAA